CGGGGCTGGATGAACACAGCATCTGCAGTTCCTACTATCTCTGATTCGATTTTAGCACCAATTTAAGACTGGGGTGAGGAGGAATTTCTTCTCTCAGAGGGTTATGAGTCTTTGGAACTCCTTGCTACAGAAAGCTGTGGGGGTAGAGTCCTTGTGCATACTGAAAGCCGAATTAGATAGATTCTTCATCAATAGGGGAATCGAGGGTTATGGGGAAAACGGTAGGAAAGTAGGTATGAGGAATGTCAGATCAGACATGATCCTACTGAATGGCAGAGTAGGCTTGAGGGACCAAACAGCCTACCCCTGTTCCTATTTATTATGGTCTTAAACAGTACAGATATTAACACTCTTTGAAATAAACGATACCTTTGAGACACTGTAGGAACTTTACCAAACATGGCATAACATAATAGTGTCCTTTGTCTAACCACTTTCAGCTGCTTCATCGAGGACCTCCCTTTGTCATAAAGTCAGAATTAGGGATGTTTGCACAATGTTCAGCACCATTTGTGACTCCTCAGATATTGAAGTAGTCCATGCCCAAATATAGCAAGTTTTCAATAATATCCGGGTTTGGGCTGACAAGTGGAAAGTAACATCCATGTCATGCAAGTGCCAAGCAAGGACCATCTCCAATAAGGAAGAATTTAACCATCGTTGCTTGAAATTCAATGGCACTACCATCATGGAATCCCACACTATCAGCATCCTGGGGGTTACAGTTGACCTGAAACTGAACTGTACCAGCCATGTAAATACTGTGGCTATAACAGCAGGTCAGAGGCTTAGAATCCTGCTGTGAGTAACTCACCTCCTGACTCTCCAAAGGTTGTCCACCATCTCCGAGGCAAAAGTCAAGAATACTCCTCACTTGCCTGGACAAGTGCAGCTCTAACATACAGTTTTGTGATCTCAACTTTTTACAATTTACAAAAGTCATTTGGATGAAAGGACTGAAGGTATGATAGATAAATTTGCTGATGACACAAAGACAGGCAGGAAAGTGATTTGTGAAAAGGACAGACGAAGCCTACAAAGGGAAATAGATAGGTTAAATGAGTGGGCAAAGATCTGGTAAATGGAGTATAATGTGGGAAAGGGTAAAATTATCCATCTTGTCATAAAATATAAAAAGCCATATTATGTGAATAATAAGAGGTTGCAAAGCTCTGAGACGTGGAGACATCTGGGTGTCTGAGTGCATACATCACAGAAGGTGAGTATGCAGGTACAGCAAGTAATCAGGAAAGGTAGAAAGAAAGGCTAGGTTTGTATCCTTTGGAATTTAGAAGAGTCAGAGATGATTTAATAGAAACATTTAAGATCCTGAAGGGATTTGACCAGGTGGATGTTAAAAGAATGTTTCCTTTTGTGGGAGAATTGAAAACTAGGGTCACAGTTTAAAAAATAAAGAGTCACCCATTTAGGAGAGAGAGAGGAAAGAAATTTTCTTGCAGTATGTTTTAGAATTCCCTTCCTCAAAAGGCAATAAGAGGCAGATCTACATTGTCAGTCTTGTATTTGAAGATCAATTTCATGATCGCTCATTCCAATTTAGGATGGTCAACAGCTTGGAAAGAACTTGTAATTGGTGGTTTCCCCCTGCATCTGCTATCCTGGAAAATCTTTACATATTTTTAAAGCAGCGGTATATGCATCATTGATTACCAAAAGGATGAAAGATTATTGGGGGTATACAGAAATGTTAAGTTAAAATCAGATCAACCGTGATCTTGCGGAATTTCAGAGCAGGCTCAGAGGGCCAAATGGCCTATTCTTGTTCCTTGTTCATATGTTTGAACTTTCGGATGTATCATCCAGGAAAAAGCAGCCTGTTTGATTGGCACCACTTCACACACATTCATTCCCTCCACCAGTGGCTCACAATAGCAGCAGTATGTATCATCTACAAGTGTGTACTGCAGAAATTTACCAAAGCTCTTCAGACAATACTCCTCAAACCTTCAACCATTATCACCTAGAAGGACAAGGACAGCAGATACGTGAGAAAACTGTTAGCCTCCAAGTCACTCACCATCCTGACTTGAACATTCCTTCAGTGTTTCAGGGTCAAAATTCTCAAACAACCCATCAAAGGCATCGTAGGTATACCTACAGTACATGGATAGCAATGGTTGTCAGGCCTGAGTCTGATATATAGGGACTTGGGGTTCATATCATATTAAGGTAAGAGATCATGAAATTTATCTTCACCTCAGATATAAGACTGCCATTGCAGACCTGTAATAAAACAAAGAATTGCCAATGTTGGAGATATAAAACAAAAATAGAAATTGTTGGTGAAACTCAGCAGATCTAGCAGCATCTGTGGGGAGAAAGCAAAGTTAACATTTTGAGTCCTATGACTTGTCAACAAAATTACCTTCCCCCTACAGATGCTGCCAGACCTGCTGAGCTTTGCCAATAACTTCTGTTTTTAATGCAAATCTGGCCCTCACTATAGTAACTACCAAATTTTCACTCCATAGAAATCAATGAATATGAAAATCAGGTGGTTTCTATAATGGATTATGAATTTAGGAATGCCAGTTAGATGTCCAAAGGGCGAGGTGAAAATCTACCTCCAAGTATCACGCCCTCGATCATTAAAAAAATTTATGAATGGTTATCCAATTCAAACTTGTTTAAGGTGGTATGGTAACATGACATACATCTGAGCCATGGAAGCTTTGATATCAAATAAAGGAGTGGCATACCTTGTCATCTTATTAGTTAATGAATTTTGTTGGAATGGACATTTTGTGACTTTGCATACTCCACAGATAAAATTAAATAACTAAGAGAAACTGTATTGTGTAGCATTTGGATTTTCCTAAATGTCTTGACAAAAATTGATATTTTGAATTCTCTGCTCCGACTTTTCTAGGTTTTCTAAGTGTCCTTCATTCATCTTTCTGCAGCAAAAGAACTTGTATTACAGATTGAGCAGTCATATCATGTCATACCATTTGAATCGCTTTTATGTGTTGTATGAAATTTAGGACAACTCATTACAGGCTTTATTTACAATTCTGTTTCTGTAATTCACCAAGTTGAGAAGGAACCACTCTCTGCTGACCTCTGGTATCTAGCTAATGCTCTGTCGCCATCTGAATAATAAATAATAATAATAAAGCACATCATCAGGCTCAAAAGAGTAGAAATCATAATTCATACACATTCAGTGTGATAGCACTGTTATAAATGATTTTTAAAAATTGTTAATCATTTGGGCTTGGAATTCTCAAAGGGACTGGAGCAGAGAAGGGAGTGGATCTGACTTGGAACAGAACTTTTGCTTTCCCGTATCTACCACTTATCACATTACATTGGTACGTATTAGTACAGATTGTACACTGTCAGCGCATCAAGCAATTTTAGGGCTTTCAAGTATAAAATGTATGTAATAATGCTCCATTAGATTGCAAACTCTGCCACAGTAAATTTAATTACAGTAAAGATATACAGCAAATGCTTCTATGTTAAAGATATGTTTAAAAAAAACTCACCATGAGATTCAGAAACAAATGGGAACAGCAGATGCCTAAGTACTTGTAGTTATAGGGTGAAAAGCAAGGGTTTCCTCCAGCTTTCATTGACGATTCCTAATGAAATGACATTGCCAAAATATGCAAACATTATTCAAGCACAAACAAAATAGTTGTCTTTAAATATCTGCATGAATCTCTCTCATGGCTACCATATCCTTGGGGACTGACTCGTTACATTGGCTGCCCTAGATATCTGCTCAAATTCCCTCCAAAAGGCAGTCCTTGAGACCCCACCCCCATCATGGAAACATGACCATTCTCCATCTTTCAATATAGGAGCCCTCTCTTTTTCTTGATGCTCTTTTTCTGTAGCTCCTTCCTGAAGCCTGTGCCAGTATAAGTGGCCAGTAACAGCACCTTTCCACTGAATGCAACTCTCCTTTCAGAGGAGCAGACTGCGTTTACAATGACTAGGTTAGACCCACCATGTGCTATCAGCAAACACTGATAGCCCCCTGCTGACTTCTCAAATAGCCAGTTCCCCAGACTTGGTTTGGACCAACACTACCATCAGGTTATCTCCTGTGCTTTCTGTCTCAATGACAATAGCTGTGAGCAGGTTCTGAACCACAGAAGTGGGTCAAGATGAATCTTAGCCCAAGTTGAACAAATTCAATACTGCAGTCCTTTGAAAATCTATTCAAAGACATTGCCAAGACGACATTTTGTTGTGTAACGTTATTATTCTACAAATCTTACACATCCTTTTTTGAGCTCACCACTTTCTAGCCCATTCTTGAATACATGGCATAGTTAATCATGGGATCCCGACAAGGAAGATTCCATTGAGTCCATACAGGCCTTCTAAACAGCATTTCACCCAGACCCAGCTCCCTATCCCATCACCCCACATTTACCATGGCTAACCAACCTAGCCTGCACATCCCTGGACACTGCAGACAATTTAGCATGGCCAATCCACCTAACCTGCACATCTTTGTACTGGGGGAGAAAACTGGAACACCTCAAAGAAACCTTCGCAGACACGGGGAGAATGTGCAAACTCCATACAGACAGTGGACCGAGGCTGGAATCAATTCTGGGTCCTGGGCTCTGTGAAGCAGTAGTGCTAACCACTCAGCCACCTTGCAATCCCTATTGAGACAGGAAACCTCACAACTTTTAAAAGGTACTTAGGTGAGCACTTCTGAAATTTCATAACATTCGAGGCTCTGGGCAAAGTACTAGAAATTAGGGCTAGTGCAGACTTGGGTCATTTTTATGTCAGTGCTGAGTTAATGGGCCGAAGGGCCTCTTCTGTACTTTATGATTCTATGATGCAACAGTGGGCAATAATGAATCCAGTCAGTTTCAGTAAAATGAAACTACAAGCTTCCTTAAAAAGTTCATGTTCTTTTTGGAAACCCAGATGATCTATTTGCAGAATGACCAAACCCCTTGGCAAATCATGAAGGATTTGCTGTGATTTAAACAATACACACAGCAACATTCTCCTTCAAGCCACTCATTAGAAAGAAAAATGCAGCAGTAAGAACCCATTGGAAATTTCATGGGTTGGAATTTGTGCTTAATCAGAAAATAACATTTTATTTTGGCTTGCCATGCTTGAACATCTGCACAGTATCACCAATCATGGTTCTGTACATGGGAGAAGATAATGTGGTTAATCTTCTTCCAGAGGAGCTATGAGGGATATGAAGGAGGACACTGTGGACTAGGTATCCAGCAGCTTTCAAAGTAAGACGAATTGCAGAGAAGTATAAATAGATGGTTCTGAGCTGCAGAGTACTCTAAGACAGAAGGGCATCCAGAACAATATCCCTGCTAACTTCCAAGAAATTCAAAAATTCTAAATTGAGACGCAGTCAAAAATTAACCTCAGCACTATGATTTCAGAAAATTCTAGCAGGGCTGCTTAATTTGCTATATTTAAGGCTGATTATCAGGCAATGTCTGCTGCATATTATTTGCGGCCTGCCTACTCTCAAGCTGATGCTCTGCTTATGAAGGTAATGGGCATATTGGTTCCAGAGTCTGTATGAGTACCTTCTAGAACACAGGGAATGGGGAGAGTAACATTATAACAATGCAATTCAATTCTTCACCAAATGTATTCATCTTACTATAACTCACCTGTATTGCATATTCAATGGCTCTCACAAAGATGCTTGATGTTAGAGGTGTCACAGCTCCAGGCATCATTTCACTGCAACATCCAATATAGAACTTTATATGTTGCTTTGAAAGCAACAGCATTTAATGGCTTCTCTAGAGATATTGAGTTTGACAGTGAAGGAGATGTTTTCCCGTACAAGACAGCATAATAACAGGAAGCAACTGGAGACAGCTTAAACATAGGGAAAAGAGCTCACAGGTTTGAGCACAGTGGTTGCAGCTCACTCATAGGTAGACTTACAGCTGTGTACAAGTCAGAACATACAAAACACCAAAGGGTGGAAATTCTCAGAATGTCAAAGCAGTGTCTATCGAGAGCAAGACAGTTTAACTTTTTATGCAGATGATGTCAAGTCACTTCTGCAGTTTTATCAAGTTTCTTGCCTCTTTGAACTTGTCATGGGCAGTACATTGTTAGTGAGGAAATTCCCTCCTGAAAAAGAGGAAGGTACTTCTGCAAATGCTGGAAAGAATATCTTTCTGCACAAACTTATTACATAATTCACAACTGGGTTATGTGAACATATTGGCAAATTTATGAAGAAGAAAATAGGAAAAACCTTGCATACCCAACGTTTGAGGTTGTCATCCAGTCGTAGTCTGTGGGCAAGGCAGAATCAAACTCATGCATCAGCTCAAACTCAGATTCAATGAAGAATGTAGTTATTGGTCTGGCCTGAAAGATGAAAGATGATAACCGCAAATGCATTGCTTAAAGGAATTGGCTATTTGAATTGTCCTGGTGTTTTTATTTCCCCGTTACAACAGCTAGTATTGAAAATAATTCTCCTCTGAAACTTTAATGCATGATTGCACTAGACATTTCAGACTACATTGTATTTCAAAGCCCAAGATCCTTGCAGTTTAAATTGTTGTTTTGGCGAGCTTTTCATCATAAAGTTGCAATTGCATTTCAAGTTAATAAATAATATTAAATGATAAACTGTACTTTTTCTTTGGATCTATTAGCTTGTACATCAGACATGTTAATAAATTCCTCAAGATTCACTCTTGCAGTATGTGCAATACAATATTACAGCAATTCTGATAATGGTCCAGTTACCTAAAGAACACAGTCTGAAATTTTCCACAGGTGTCAGGTAGCCAACATCAGGATTTTTTTGTGTTGATTGAGTCTGTGTTTCTTGGCTATGTACCACTGGCACAGGTTTAAGAGAATTGAGTTACTTATTGAACACCTTCTTGTCTACCACCCAGTTAAGGTTGACAGGCAGAACAGCATGGTCAGTGAGAGGGTCTGAAGGAATGGCAGCCTGACAACCACATTTTTGAAAGGTGAATGTTGTTTTGGAAGAGGAAGACACCATTGAGCTGCCTCAATTTGGAGGCACTTACAGAATGAACCAAAGGGAGTAATATTAAAAAAATACAAGAGCCTGGACATTTGAGGACTCTCAGGATGAAGCCTGGGATTAGGGTGAGGGGAGGTGGAGAATTGATGGATGCAAATGCAAAAATGTTGCATCAGTCAGAAAATAGAGCTTTAATGCAGCCTTAAATACTATAATTGGCTGCCTTTCTCTGTCGAGCAGGCTGCTGCTTTTAGTCCATCGGGACCATGTTCACAACATTCAGATTTCAAAAATGCATGAAGTGTGATGTGAGGTTTCTTATCCTCTAATGTATTACTGTTCTGCAACATGATGCAATCTTTCCATCATCAGATCTCTGTTTAGCCTAACGATGTAAATATGGCATGGTTACAGAATCAATCTAAATCCCACAGAGCTAATATTTGGCCATCAGAGTAGAAATGTCATTGTGAGGTTTTATATAGGTAGACATTTTAAAACAATATCATCTGTTATAATTCATAACAGGATAATTTTCCACTCAATCTTAATGACTAATCTTTCTATTTTTCCATTTATTGAAACTCGCCTATTCTTTACAACACAATTAGAAATTTTGACACACAACATCCCAAAATATGTATCAATGGTGCATGCTGAATGACATAGCAAAATTGCTTGACCAAATAACACAGGATATGTGAGGACTAAGTTGTGACTATTGTTTGCAGGCAATATGGATTGAGTGATTGTAAATAATTACAACCCACAACAGTTATTCTGGCCAGCACATCGGTCAACCGATTGTTCCAAAATGCAAATAATTTCTTATCATCAGGAGTCTGGTAACCTAGTCTGTATAGGTGTCAGGTTGGATTAGTATGTAGATTAGAAAATACCATCTCATCTAGCAAAGCAGTGGAAAGGAACATGTCCCAGATTGCTGTGCAACTACACCTTGCTAGTATGCACTATTTTCTGATGAGACTACTGTGGCCATATCAAAACTAACTTTTGTTCCTCCAAATCCTATGGAGGAGCACAACAATGCAAGTTGCAAGAAAGAAGGGCTGAGGTAACTGAAAACACAGCTAGCTATGGTGGAGTGGTTAAAATCAGGGATGCTCAAGAGGCCAACATCAAATAAGCACAGATATCTTAGAGGATTGTGTGACTAGAGGAGATAACGGAGTTCAGGGTGGTATCTTCAAGTCCTGGAGGAGTTGTGGTAAAAAGCAACAAGGCCATTTATTTAGGTGGTGAGTTGGAACACTTGATCCCTGATGCTTTCTCGTTGCTACCAAAATTAAGTTCTGGGCAGCAAGATCCAGGGCCCCACTGCTAATTAGACCTTTAAGTAACCAATTATTGATCACTTCAGCCTACCACTGCTGGGGATAACCAAGCTGCAAACAGGCCTGTCAATGACCATTCTTCCTGCAGGGATAAAGAGTGCAGGCTGCTAGTCAGCTGATTGTGCGGGAGTCATGAAACAGATTTCTAACACTTCAAACCTCCTCCCACTCTCTACCGAACCATGACTTAAATCCACTTGACCTGGTCATTAAAATTCAGCCTATTGTGTTGTGACATCTACATGTTTGCACTTGTAGGGAAAATCACCAAATAGTGCAGGTGGATCATATATCCTGTAACCCAATGGGACTGCAGCTAACTGAACTACAATTCCTGAGGTTGCAGCATGATCAATTCCATCAGCCTCGACCAGGAATGAAACCAGTGACCATTTTGGTCTGTAAGCTACATGTTGTGTAAATCCTATGGAACCAAATTATAAATTGGGACAGTTAGGAGTGGTGAAATTTCTGAATAATCAATTTTGTAGCAGAAAAATAAATTGCTCAGTGTCAAGGTGGTGGGGCTTGATGGATAATCATGAGCCAATACATTAGGTTACAACCATATTTTTGCTCTGTACCTTTGGGGCATGAGGCTCTGCACAGACAGCACAAAAGACTGAACACTGTCAGTATAAATAAGAGATGGAGTATTTCGCAATAAACAGCCTCACCTGCAGCAAATAAATCTTTGATTCTATGACTGCCCACTCAATATCTCTTGCATCTCCATAAACTTTTCCGACCTGGTGGGCAGACACATAACAAATATTAACGAATTTGTGATTACTCCCGACAATAAAACCTTTGTTGCCTCTCCACACAACAGTCATAACCATTACAACACATGCCTGGTTAGCCACCCACATTTCACCCTCCTTCCAACCTTCAGCTGCTAGACTGTAAGCTCCAGTTCTTCCCTCAATCTGCCTCTTTTTTTTTCTTTATGACTTGTTTTCTTTCAGACCACTACTTTAAACCCACTTCATTTACAAAACTTTTGTGGCAGTGTAAAATATTGTTCAATTCCCATGAAGAACCTTGGAAAATTTAACACTGTAAAATTAAGCCCAAGATCTAACAATCAGTGTAAAATATTGTTCATTTCCCATGGAGAACCTTAGAACATTTAACTCTATAAACTTAAGCCCAAGATCTAACAATTAAACTTTGACATTTGCTGACTCTCATGTCAAATACTGCTGAATCCCTTCCCAAACACAAATAATTTTAAAATATCCTGACAGCATTTTTCACTGTTACTGCTTATGGACAAATCAGATTCAAATTTAGAGTTTTAAATACGCTGAATAAAATAATCGAGACCTGAAAAGCCACTTGTCCTAATCTCAGAATGACATCGTCAGCGATACAGCATTTTGCAGCGTCCGAAATTAAAGTGTCTTCATATTTAATTCCACCTTCATCTGCAATTTAAAAAGTAAAATTCTTTCAACTTTTCTAAACAAAATTTAATTGCTGTTAATGTTAGTATCAACAGATAAAGTGAAATGGACCATATGTTATGACAGACCTCCCCATTCAAACACAAGTCAGACTCATAATCCAACATCTTTTGTGGCAGTGATGATTACCTGAGTGAATGTCAGCCTGGGACTGTTTGCCATGGGTGATCTGGGGGAGAAAGTACGGTAATTGTGGCAGCAGTGGTGTCAGCGTTATCAGGAAAGTATAGCCATTGGCGGAAGTAAAAGCAAAGAGGGGCACATTTACAAAGTAAGTTTGTTGGGTCTGGAGGAAATACTGCTGCAATTCCTGCACCCATAGCAGTATCGTAAATACATTTACTTTACGGGTCCAATCTTTCTCACCTGCTTTTACCGACCGAATTCCCATATGTTTGGGAAACCTAAGATGACAGCAGGATAACGAAAGAAACCTTGATAAAAGGAAAGGTACATACCCCCTTTAAAAAGATGCAATGACTGACCACCTCTCACCACTCCAAGGAAGCAGATTGGTCACACAGTTCCCACCCTGTCTCCACTAAGACAGGAATGGAGAGATTTGAGGTCCATGAGTTTGGGTTTGAAATGTTCACATTTTAATATTTCACTAGAAACTGTTTTTTAGAAGGCTGATACCACCACCCCAATTTGTGAATTTCAATATGCTCTAAACTCTCCTCACCACTCACCATTTTCTGAGCACTGTTGCTTCTTTACTCCAATTTCCTTCTTGATAATCTGATATTTCCCTTTCAGATTGTGTGAGAGGGTGATGGTGTCAGGATCTGAATGACCACTCACCACAGACTGAAACAAAATATGGAAAATATATGACATATGGAAAAGTTCTCTGTCAGAGTTTCTTCGCAGACCATGTCAGCTGTCAATAATAGATGTGACAAAGACTGGGTATTTAAAAGAAGCGATTGCTTTAACTGGCAAATATTCATAATCTTGCCCTCCACAATGTTGTTTCTTGGATTCCAGCTTAGAAATTCTCAGATAAATGGGTCTCTATTGGAATCAGTTGCCTCAGTTATCATCCATACAACAAATGTCATCAATTTAGTTTAACCATTGAACTGAATTGATATTTCATAAATCAACATTCTTTTCTTAAAAAAAACTTATAAATTTCTATTCTTATCTCTAATGGAGGTTCAATAAAGAAATATAATTCCTGTAATAGGTTCTTGTAAAGGCAGTATCTAAAATGCCACTAACATGCGGAGAGTGAACTATTAATGCTTGAGTGACTATGTTCCTTAACTGTACTTTCTAGACACTTGACCAAAACATATGTTTCTCAAAATATAACCTCATACCCTTTTTTGTCCATCTCATTTACAACAGATATTTCATGCCCTAAAAATTATTTCATCATTCAATTACACCGTTGTGCTCCTGTTATCTATTGTGATAACCTTGCTTAAAGAAAATCAGTCTTGAAAATTTCCATCCATCAGTTCGAGATTTCCAAAAGAATTGTGGATGCTGGAAACCAGGAACAAAAACAGAAAGTACTATAAAAACTCAACAAGTCTAGCAGCAGCTGTGGAGAGAAATCAAGTTAATGTTTCGGGTCCAGTGACCCTTCTTCAGAACTGATGGTAGCTAGGAAAAAGTTTTTTTTATGAAGATAGAGTCAGGGGAGGGGACAAGGGGTAAATGACAGACAAAAGTGAAAGAGAGAGAAAAATAGTTGGAGAGACAAAGGGGTGGGACAAAGGAGTAGTTTTGTTTTTGAGTCTGAGATTTCCATTCCTCTTTATGGGAACAAATGCTTCTTATTCTGTCTTCTTTCTGTGTTCTGGTTTACGTTCATAAATCACTCCAAATGACTGCTACCAACGTCTAAGAATTGTCCGTTCTTTACTTTGTCCTCCTTTTCTTTTTTAACAAGAACCTATCTCATTAGGTTCCTTAACAAACTACAGTATTGTTTGTTAGTCTTTCTGTTTTACTTTATTTTGATGAATTGCTTTACTCCTCTGCTCCATGTGACTTCAAGTTAGTTACTGGTTCATTTCACCATGACATGGATTCGTCACTGTGCCACAAGACATTTCTATGTCCCATCAATCTTTGGCCTACTTTGCTCCCAACCTCGGAAAACTGTTTCAAATTTGCTTCTTTCCAGATGGTAATAAATTTATTCTATCTTGCTTTTATTTTCATCATTTGACTTCTGAGTTTGTAGTTCCCTTCTGACTATGTATTTCAACTATACCCTCCTAATGTGTACAAGTTGTGGTTTGTTGACTTTGTTCTTCGGGTCTGAATCCTTTCCACAGTAACTCCTTCCTAATTGTTTCCTGCTTCCTTGCAGTATAACTATCAGGATGCTGAATTATAACAATCTAAGGTTTTAATAACCCCCTGTCAAATAAAGACCATTTACACAAGTTTACAGTTTTCATGGTTGCAGAGCATGAGATGGCTTTAAGGGCAGTGAGTTACACACTAAAGTACTTAAGAACACACATCAAGAAACCTCACATGACTATGAGGACATGAATCAAGAATCAAGCAGCAATAAGAAGTTACAAATCAACTGGTACCTGTTATTAGACAATATTGAATTAAGGCAAATGGCAACTCTATTGTTGTGCCATTATTTGGGGATTCAATCTTCATGCATGTTGCCTGACCTACTCAGTGTTACTGGCTTTTTATTTGCTTTTATTTCAGATTGACAATAAATTATTAGTTTGATTTTGTGTTTGGGAGTGTATGTTTGATATGTGTGCCATTGAGTGAGTGCTTGTGTTAGATTAGCTCAGATTAGATTTTATTGTTACGTGTAGTCAAGTACAAGACTACAGTGAAAAGTGTAGAGTCGCCACTCTCCAGTGCCTTCTTAGAAAACAATAGGTAGAATTAAAAACAAGAGCTGAAATTAAAGAAACAGAAACAAAAGGTTAAAGTAATATCCAGATCACCGATACCACCAGCAGGAGTCTTCAGCTGGAGTCACCAATGCTGCCTGTGTCAGACCCACCAAAGCTGCAGTGCCGCCATCTTGGAATCAATTGAAGTATCAGGGTCCACAACCTTCCTGAACTAATGCAAGCATGTGTCCCTTTGAACCAGCGCTGACATCAGAGCCAAGCCAACATCTCAAGTCCTGCGCTGGGCCCACGAACATCGAAGTCACCACGCTCTGATGCCATCTCTCACAGCCGGGCCCACACTCGCTGCCATCGCTGATGTCGCTGGAGCCGAGCTCCCCAAGGGCAAATATTAAGAGAGAACTGCAGAGAAAAGAAAAGCAGAAATGTGCAGAAGAAAGCAGCAGACGAGCAGGAGCCTGATTGCTGCTATCTCTGAATATGTGTCTGTATGTGAAAGAGAGAAAGAGACAGACCAACTATATCCTCCTTGCCTAATGTCACACCACTTTGTTTGTTGGTTGGGACTGTGCCATTTTTCACTACGTAATCACAGCTAGAGATTTATTTGCCATGGATTGTCTTCCTGCTGTTGCAACTCTAGAAAGTCACCCCTCAGCGTCCAATACTCTGGGGAAAATAGCTTATTCAGCCTCTCCCTTTGGCTCAAACCCTCCAATCCTGGCAACATCGTTTTAAATCTTTTCTGAATCCTTTCAAGTTTCACAACATCCTTCCTACAGCAGGGAAACCAGAATTGCACGCAGTATTCCAAAAGTGGCCTAACCAATGTCATGTACAGCCGCAACATGACCTCCCAACTCTATACTCAATGCATTGACCAATAAAGGCAAGAATACCAAACACCTTCTTCCATATTCTAGCTACCTGTGACTCCACTTTCAAGGAACTATAAACCTGCATTCCAAGGTCTCTTTGTTCAGCAACACTCCCCAGGACCTTACCATTAAGTGTATAAGTCCTGCCCTGATTTGCCTTTCCAAAAAGGAGCAGCTCATATTTATCCAAATTAAACTACATCTGCCACTCCTTGGCCCATTGGCCCATCTGATCATGATCCCGTTGCACTGTGAGGTAACATTCTTCGCTGTCCACTACACCTCCAACTTCAGTGTCATCTGCAAACTTAATAACCATACATCCTATGTTCATATTCAAATCATTTATATAACTAATGAAAAGTGGTGGGCACAGCACCATTCCTTATGGCACATTGCTGGTCACAGGCCTCCAGTCAGAAAAGCAACCCTCCACCAGCACCTTCTGTCTTCCTCTCAAACACACACACACATGAATCTATGGGGTGAATTTGTATTTGCAGATACATTCTTTTTTGTTCAAAAAACCACACAATATAGACAGTCAGTCAATATTGCATCATTTACTCTTGTGTGCGCTGAAGAACAATTCTTAGCAATTATTTACAGGTAGCCATGCACCTGAAAACATTGGGCTGACTTTTACAGAGTTCAGACAGAGCTTTAATAATGGCCTGCTTGCAGAAGACTAGCCCCCACCCACACACCCTTTTCTAACAGATCCAATTCTTCTTGGTTGGGGAAAGGGAGCAGGAAGTCAGGATTCACACAGGAGGGTAAATTAATTCCCCAGTGCAGATACCATTTTGGGGCTTAACTGGTCTTAACTAGCAGTATGAGAGAGAAGAGGAGTGATACTTGACTCAAAACGTTAATCTGTTTCTCTCTTCACAGATGCTGCCTGACTTGCTGAGTTTCTCTAGCATGTTCTGTTTTTATTTCAGCTTTGCAGCATTTGCAGTACTTTGATTTTATTCTATTAATATAGCATCTCCACAGCAAAGAAAAAGTACTTCAGAGACAGGAACTAGAAAAACAGATGTCCAGGAAATGAGTGTTTAGGTGCACTGACTCATAACTTTGTCAAAGAGATTGATGCATAAACACTGGAACATTTAAACATCTTCAGATGATGGCATTGACTAGATCTTATCCATCCTTTAAAAAGATCTGCATCATCAATCTGTCACTCCCACACCGTTCGGAGTCCTGCAAGCAGTTCTGCTTCCCTTATTATATAAAGAATGGGTACTGGAGATGGTGCAGAGAATATTTCCAAGGATAACACCAACAATGCATATCAGGAAAGGATTGACATGACAGATCTCTTTTCTTTTGAGAGAAAAGAATGCTAAGGAGTGGCCTAATTAAGATTGTTAAAGCTATGAAAAGTTCTGGTAGAGTGGATACAAAGAGAATGTTTTCTTGTCAGAAGAGTACAATTACAGGTCATCAAAAAAGTGATAACCATCAAGGAATCCCACAGGAAATTCAGGGGAAAAAACAACTTCTTGACCTAATGAATGGGTAAAGGGGAAACTACACAAGCATTTGGAGGACGTGGGAATAAATGGTTATGATGCTTATTTAGATGAGCAAAGATGGGAAAAGACTCAAGTGGAGCAAGAGCTGGCAGTGTTTCTGATCTACAATTCTTCTATCATCCTATGTAAACATTAAGAACTAATAAACAGAAGAGTTTTACGCCAAAAAAAAGTTCTCAAGATGAATTGCATGCAGCAGTAAGTAAGTGACAGTAGATTAATCCTTAAATCAGGGCAACTTCAAGACATTTCAAATTGATTGGTGGAATAAAGTGGGAACAGAGTGAGTTAAAAATTCCAAGATGAGAAATCAGCTGCAGTGAGCATCTGGAGTAGAACGGAAAGGAACAACTTGAGTCATTCAACTTAAACTGAACTGGATAAGAATGCAAATTTAGTTCATAGTTATATCAAGCATATAATAACAGGAACATACAAGCAGGAAACAGTGAAAAATGTTTCCTATTGTTTGAATTAACCTGGGCAAAGATATCTGCAGAAGCGCCACCAACAGTAATTCGAGGCCTGAGAATTGGTTGTTGAGATGGAGATAGTGTGACTTATCAGACAGGATGTAAGATTTCTGGAATTGGAATTGGAAGTGTAAATATTCGATTGTTTCATGTGGAATAGACAGTGGTAAAGGCAGGAAGGCTAACTGTTCAAGAATTCAGGAAAAAAAACATGAAAGGACATACAATAGAAGGAATATCTGAAATAAATTATCCTCCTCAAGTTAGGAGTATTGCTTTTAAGGAAATAAAGCCTCTGATATGTAACTCCCTTCACTGCAGCAAAACTGAACCTCAGGTGACTGTATAATAGGCGACAAATATACTGCACATTTTATGCCATTGCCCAACATGAATTTCTAATCACTAAGTGGCTCACATTTGTATTTACTTTACTTATCCTCCAGGTGAGAGTTGCTGGCAAGACAAAGATTTATACCAAATGCTAAATATCCTTGAGAAGGTAATGGTGATGATGAGCTGTCTACACCAAATGCCTGACGAGCTGTTTATCTGGAAACACATGTAGGCCAGACCAGATAAAGGTGGCAGATTTCCACTCGTAAGGACATTCACAAACCACATGGTTTCTTGCAAAAATAACATAGTTTCTTGAAATAATAAAGAGACTACTGTACTCCAGACTAAATAATGCTTCAGTGGGATTTTAATTCATGTCAAACAGAGCATTAGTCTGGGCCCTTGAATTATTGCTCCAGTAATATCACCGTTTTACTACTTTCTCCATACATTAAAAATGTGAACTGGCTGATAATTTACCCATTAGAGTCATAAAGTCATAGAGATACACAGCACAGAAACAGACGCTTCGGTCCAACTCATCCAGGCTGACCAGATATCCCATATAAATCTAATCCCATTTGCCAGCATTTAGCCCATATCCCTCTAAACCCTTCCTATTCATATACCCATCCTGATGCCTTTTAAATGTTGTAAGCATACCTGCCTCCACCACTTCCTCTGGTAGCTCATTTCATAGATGCACCACCCTCTGCATGAAAAAGTCACCCCTTAGGTCCCTTTTTAATCTTTCCCATCTCACCTTAAACCCTCTAGTTTTGGATTCCCCAACTCCATAGAAAAGACCTTGCCTATTTACCCTTTCCATGCCCCTCATGATTTTATAAAACTCTATAAGGTCACCCCTCAGCATCCAATACTCTGGGGAAAATAGCTTATTCAGCCTCTCCCTTTGGCTCAAACCCTCCAATCCTGGCAATGTCCTTTTAAATCTTTTCTGAATCCTTTCAAGTTTTACAACATCCTTCCTACAGCATGTAAACCAGAATTGCACGCAGTATTCCAAAAGTGGCCTAATCAATGTCATGTACAGCCGCAACATGACTTGAAACAAGGCCTCATGCCTAACATGCATTGTCTGACTTAAAATGTGATCACTTCTTTACACTGATAAAAGCTTTGGTTCTCTCAGGTCAGTGACTTCAAAGGAATTCAGGGAAGAAAGTATACATATTAATCAATTGAAACCTTGTAACTGATTAAAGATTTAACAGCATCTGAGGTTTGTTTAGTACATCCTCATCAGTGATGTGATTCTTTGTTCTTTTACTTTTAAATTCTGTGTCTGATACCACCTATCTCACCAACATCTGAAGAAGGAGTACGACTCCGAAAGCTTATATTTTCAAATAAACCTGTTGGGTTATAACCTGGTGTTGTGTGATTTCTGACCTTGATCCACCCCAGTCGAACACAGGCACTTCCACAGCACTTCTACCTTTGAGCCAGTTCTATATCCAAACAGCTAATTCTCCCTGTATTCCATTTGATTTAACCTTGCTAACCAGTCTACCATGAGGAACTTTGTCAAACGCCTTACTGAAGTCCATATAATCACATCCACTGTTCTGTCCTCATCAATCTTCTTTGTTACTTCTTCAAAAAACTCAAATCAAGTTAGTGACACACAATTTCCCAAACACAAAGCCATGTTGACTCTGCCTAATCAGTCCTTGCCTTTCCAAATACATGTAAATCCTGTCGCTTAAGATTCCCTCCAATAACTTGCCCACTACCGATGTCAGACTCACTGATCTATAGTTTCTTGGCTTTTCCTTACCACCTTTCCTAAATAGTGGCACAACCTCAGGTCAACGCAGCAATAACACAGAAGTGGATAAAGGATTGCTTGCATTCTTTCCTGTCCTGACTAAAGGTCAGACGTGATTTGTTTTCTCACAGGTGCAAGACAGGAAAACATTTTCGAATGATTGGAAACAAGTCAAGGCTCTTTCTGTAGTATGTGGTAATCTCTCAACACAGAGTGGCCTCAGTGTGGACTTCTGGTCTCGAGGCGATTCCACAAAGTGCAGTCCCACCGTGGCTAAGCACTTAAGAAGGACAGTCATATTTGAACTTTTAGCTTTATTCCTTTATTTTCTGCTTAAAGCGATGAAAGTCTGCATTATGTAACTTTTAACCTTATTTTCTATGCTTCACGTTAAACCATAATTACTGCAATGTTTAACTTCTAACTTTGTTCTTTCTATCTATCTTGTTTCTTAAGATTCTGTACCTAGGTACTTGTACCTATGATGGCGCCTTGTGTGGCAACAGTATACACTTTTCACTGTACTCCTGCACTTTTGCACTTGAATACATGTGGTAATACAATCAAATCAAATCACAAAGAAGGGAAACAACCAGGTGGCCAGATATTCAAAACCAAAACTTCACGGAAAGGAGTTACCATAATTGTGAAGCGGTTTTCATGGAATCCAAGGTTGGTTAAGTCCAGATTGTACACCCAAACACAGGAGTGAATCAGAAAGGATTGCAAAGCCCAGGAAGAGACCAAAGGGCAAATAGCAGGAAGATGATTTCTGTGTTTTGGGAAACTGAATGTCATTTGAGAATAATGAGAGCTCTTTAAAGCTATATCCGAACAGAACAAAACTGACAAATTGGATTCTGGGAAAAGGATGATGAAGCAATTGAGAAATGAAATAAATCAGTGAAATGCAGGAGAGGGACTGTTTACAAAGAACTACAGCAAATACAATAGGTCAAGATGAGAAATCATGCAAATTATTAATTTAAAAAGGATAACATACAAAAGGAATTTTGAAAAAAAACTTGGTTTAAGAAAGAAAAAAAGCAGTAAAACTGGTGAAATGAGACATATTGGGCCCAGTCATCATGCACACTTAAAAATGGTGACCACTATGAACAGTATGTTCACTTCCAAGTATTACTTTTCTGCTATTTTTTTTCCATCTGATTTGTAAGCAAGAAAAAGATAGGTTCTTTTTTGTCTGTGCATATGTCTAAGCTTATACATGATGTGTACATATATGTTTGTGTAAAACTGCCTGGAAATAAGTGTATAAGTTTGTGCTTCTTTATAGTTATGCCTAAGTACTTCCGTGTAAAATCTATTAGAAGACAGGACAGTTAATATGTTCACATTTCAGGAGCAAAGCTATCGAATCTCACCTCTCCGAGTCCATAATTTGCATTGATAATCATCCTGCCCGAGTGTCCTGTGATAGGATCGCATGTAAACAATACACCTGCAATGTTGTTATGGAAATAATATTAGAAATAAATATTGCACATGTTAAGCTTTAGTCTTGTTTTTAGATTCTTCTCTCTTTGGTTTTAAAGTTTTACGTTTCTGCATTCTAAGAAGAATAAAACACACAAATATATATCCTGCAGGTCAGGAGTGGGGAACCTGAGGCCTTAAGGCCACATGCGACCTTTTGGGATATTAGTTACGACCTTTTGCCTATTTGTCCACAAATACTAAATCCGCGTTTTTGAATCTGTGCACCATTTTAAAAAATTTTTTACTGGTAACTCAGTTATGTCAAAAACTAAGGAAAGAACATTAAAGGAAGAGAAGAGAGTATTCAATGAAGAATGGGAATTGCAGTATTACATAGTTGCTGTGAAAGATAAAATGATGTGTTTGCTTTGCAACGCCATAATTGCAACTGTGAAGAAATACAATGCATGTTAGCATTATGCAAATATGCTAAACTGGAAGGAGAACCCTGAAAGTCTGCACTTAAGAAAATGAAAGACCAAAAGCATTAGCAGCAGCAGCAGCAAGTATTTAAAACAATGTCAGGACAAGGGACTGACATCACTGAAGCAACTCATAAAGTAGCATATATACTTGGAAGAATAGGTAAGCCATTTGGCGATGCGGAAATCATAAAAGAGTGCATTGTTGAAGTTGTAGAATGTTTAGATTCAGATAAGGTTAATAAGTACAAACAACTACCTCTTTCAAGAAGGACCATAACTGATCAGCAACCTGAATTAGCCCTCAATGTAACATAACAACTTCATACAATATGCCAAAGCGAAGACATTAGTTATTCGATTGCCTTGGATCAATCCACAGACATTATTGACTGAGCGTAAGGGGTTATTTTTTATTCATGTTATAACTGCGGGTTTTCATTGCCACAAGGACTTACTGGGTTTGGGTACCCTTACAGCGAGGAACGTGGAATTGACATCTTCACTATCTTCAAAAAAAATGCCGTGAAGCGAAACCGAATTTATGTAATTTAGTAAGCGGTGACGTGCAGACGGTGCACCTTCCATGAGAGGAAAACGTGAAATATTTGTTGCCAGATTCAGATACCTTGATTTCCTTTCATTGTTTTTTGCATCAACAGAATCTCTATGCCAAATCTACTGTTTTAAGTGACACATTAAGTTTATAGGTATTGTAAACTACATTCGAGCAAATGCATTTGGGCATCGTCAATTTCGTGACATGCTTCAGCTTGACGATGGAACATTCAGTGTAGATCTGCCATATCATTCTAAAGTGCGTTGGATGTCACAAGGACAAATACTTGTAAAGCTTTCAGCTTTGCGAAAACAAATCACACCATTTTTTTGAGGAACTGAATGAACCAGGTGAATTGTCAAAAGAGGATTTCTGCAGAAATGTCGCACTTTTGTGTGATATAATATCAAAGCAAAATGACTTGAACTTCTTTAAAACTAAATCTAAACATGATATGTGGCTAAAAATCCAGGCATTTCAGAAAAAGCTGACCTTTTTCAAAACTTTCCTTATTCGATTGGAACTTTTAGCTGAACACTTTCCTGAACTGGCTAAGGTAATTAATGAACAGGATACAGGCAATCATTAAAGAAATGTGATGTGAAAGAATACATGGCTATTCCAGACTATCTGTGTGAAGAATACAATGAAAGTTTTGCAGATTTTGAGAAACATGATCTCAAACTGAAACTAGCTTTTCAACCACACCAGATTGATGTCTCCAAAGCACCTAATGACTTCTAGATGGAATTGATTGAGCTCTCAGAAGATAACATTCTGAAGTCTCTATTTGATGCTAAGAAGGATCCCATTGAAATATGGAAAAATGCCATTGTTGTTGTCTATGTTAAATTCTCAGCATTTGGTCCAATAGGATCTCGGTTAAATAAAATGTGGGCTTCCAATGTGCAAAAGTTCCCATCCCTGCTCTAGGTAAAACATTTGCTCATGTCTAAATTGAATGCATAAATAATCAATAGGGAATGATTTTCACCAATTGCTTTGTTTGTATCATTGAAAACAGTGAGAAAGTTTCTCCTTTGTTTTTCCTAGAGAAACAGCAAAATGAGCATTGCTGTTAATTGTGAATAGATAAAAGCTTCTCGATTAGTGAATGATAGTGCTAATGCATCGAGACCTGAGAATCTCTCTCCTTCCACACCTGGCATTCTTTTGCATCATTGAAACTAGATGGTGGATCACGTTGGGCAGTTGAGTGGTGTGTTACACATCTCAGGATTCTTAGCCTCTGACCTGCTCACGTAGCCACAGCATTTATTGGACTGGTTCAGTTGAGTCTCTGGACAATGGTAAGCCCCAGAATATGATAGTCAGGGATTCAGCAATGATGATGCTGAACTATCAACAGGAGATGACTCAGTTGTTGGGGATGGTCATTACCTGGTACTTGTATGGCACGAATGTTACTCGCCACTAATCAGCTGAACATGGATATTGTCCAGGTGATCGCTGCATTTGGACATGGACTGCTTCAGTATCTGAGAAGTTGTGGATGGTACTGAACATTGTGCAATCATTAATGAACATCCCCTACTTATGATCTGATGGTGGAGGGGGGATCATTGATGAAGCAGCTGAAGATAGTTGGGCCAAGGACACCATCATGAGGAACTCCTGGAAAAATATCATGCATCTGAGATGACTGGTTTCCAACAACGACAACCCTTTTCTTTTGTGTCAGGTATGACTCCAACCAGTGGAAATTCCACGCCCCTCCCTCCATTCCCATTGATTCTAATTTTGCTCAGGCTCCCTGATGCCACACTCGGTCAAATGCTGCTCTGATGCCATAGACAGTCACTCTCAGCTCCTGTCTGGAATTCAACTATTTTTTCCTCACTTGATCCAAGGCTATAATGAGGTCAGGAGCTGAGTGGCCCTGGCAGAATTCAAAGTGAGTCACAACAAACCAATTATTGATGAGCAATTATTGTACAAATGCGGTACACAATATTATTTCCAATATATTAAAAAAATCTGTATTAGGTTGAGAATCATTGTTCAAACAGCAAAAACAGTGCCCGGGAAAATATTCCATGTTTACATAAACAAATATAGAAATGATTGTGAAAATATTTAACATTATGTTACTGTATTCTAAAAAGGAATAATGTACAAGTGCTTTAGGTTCATTTGGAAGTGGCTGACAAATACTTGCAGTGAGATGTCACCACTTGGCAGAAAAGAGGTACTCAAAACTTGTGTGGTCAGGCTAAACCCATCTTGTTATCTTACTTCATTCAGGCTAAATAGCTAGCTGTTTAGCATTAGATACAGTGAGGCACATTTGATATATGTAGACCTTGTGTAAATAAGCACTTTTTTTTCCATTAGGTAGAAATGGGAAACCTCACCTGCTGCCTGGGCTGGTACCATCTGCTGGATCACCACGCCCATGCCCAATGCCACTGGTTGTCCCTTTTGATGACGATACTGAACAGCTTGGAATGAGTAGAGGGAAGCCCAGCATTTCAGAACAGCGTCACAGACCTGGGAAAATGAAAATAAAAATCACATAAATCATTTAAAAATTGGTACAAATGTATGAGTGTTGTAACAATTTTATAGCAACGTAATGTAAAAAGCTAGGCCATATTTTACATGTTGTAGAAGTGAAAAATGTCAGTCAAGAGTCAAGGATACAAGCTGTAGACAATAATTATGGTAGGAAAGACCAGGTGGGAACTGTACTAAAATCCTTTAAAAGTACTTTATACTTCCAAAAAGTTACTGTGTAAAAACCCAATAGATTACCTTGATGTACAATTGCTGTTATACTGGCATAATAAGATCAGTAAACTTCACATGATCAGGAAGGAGAGATCACACCCCAAGTCACTCTTCCTGTGCAATCTTGTAGTTAGCAACAGTCGAGGGGTATAAGAGGTTCTTTATCAGGTTGGTGACCTGTCACCAGTGAGGTTTCACAGGGATCACTGCAAGGACCACAACTGTCTACAAGATATATTAATGACTTGGAGGACGGGAGTGAATGTACTGTAGCCAAATTTGCAGATGACATAAAAGTAGGTGGAAAGTCAAGTTGCAAGAGTACAGCTGTAATGATTGTAGTGAGGTCAGCCAGATGAACCTTACAGAAGATGAGGTCCCTGATTGGAGCTGTTAATCTGGTCCAATAAGGGAGCCCTGGCTGACAGATGTAAACAGAAGTGTCAGGGGTTCTGTTCACTCAGAGTGCTGGTTCTGAGGAAGACAGACCAGTGTCACGTACTATGCACGTGTAAATAAAGGATGACTTGGTGACAGGATACCAGCCTCTGTGGAGTTATTTTAGTGGCTACATCCATGGTACTGTTAGGAAGGGAGTTCTAAGACTTTAAACCAGCAACAGTGAAGGAATAGTGATGATATTTCAAAGTCGGGATGGTGTGTGGCTTGAAAGAGAATTTGCAGGCAGTGGTATTCCCATCCATCTGCTACCTTTGTCCTTCCAGTGGCAGTGGTCACTGGTTTGGAAGGTGCTATTAAAGGAGCCTCGATGAGTTACTGTAAAGCATCTTCTGGATGAAACACACCGCTGCCGCTGTGCACCAGTGATGAAGGGAATGAATGGTTAAAGTGATTGACAGGGTGAAAATTAAGTGAGCTGCTTTGTCCTGGCTGGTATCAAACTGTCTTGAGAGTTGCTAGAGCTGCACACTGTATGTAAAGGGCTGGCTGAGTTCTGGTGAATGGCAATTTAAAAAGTGCTGATGGTGTGGGATTCAGGGATGCTATTGCCACTGAATGTTAAGGGGAGGTGATTAAAATTCTGTCTTGTGAGAGATTGGTCATTGCCTGGCACTCTGTGGCACAAGTATTATTTGTGACTTCTCAGCCCGAGCCTGAGCGTTATTTTGTCGCACACAGACATGCTTCAGCAACCAAGGAATCACAAATGGTGCTGAGCATTGTGCAATCCTCACTTCTGAATGTAAGAAGTCAGAAATCACACAACACCAGGTTACAGTCCAACAGGTTTATTTGAAATAACAAGCTTTCGGAGCATAGCCCCTTTGTCAGGTGAAGTAAGGGGCTATGCTCCGAAAGATTGTGATTTCAAATAAACCTGTTGGACTATGACCTGGTATCGTGTGACTCCTGACTTTGTCCACCCCAGTCCAACACCGGCACCTCCACATCCTGAATGTAACAGAGATAGAAAGCCGTTGATGAAGCAGCTGAAGATGGTTGGGCCTAGGATGCTAGCTTAAGGAACACATGTTCTACAACTGAGATGACTGAACTCTAACAACCACAACTACCTTACAAAATAAAAACCAAAAGAACTGCGGATGCTGTAAATCAGGAACAAAAACAAAGTTGCTGGAAAAGCTCAGCAGGTCTGGCAGCATCTGTGAAGGAGAAAAGAGAGTTAAGTTCAGTTCTGAGGAAGGGTTACTGGACCCAAAACGTTTTCTCCTTCACAGATGCTGTCAGACCTGCTGAGCTTTTCCAGCAACTTTGTTTTTGTTCACAACTACCATACCTTGTGTTCAGTATGACTCTAACCAATGGAAAGTATTTCCCTGGTTTCCATTAACTCCAGTTATTCTAGGGCTCCTTGATGGCATTCTCAACATAAAACTGTCTTGATGTGTAGGGCTTACTGTGACCTCACCCCTGGAGTTCTGTTTTTTGACAACATTTGGACAGAAGTTGTAATGAGATCACAGGTTGCATAGCCCTAGTAGAACTGAGCATCAGTGAATAGGTTATTGTTGGCTAAGCACTTCTCGATAGCACTGCCAGCAATATCTTCCATCACTCAGCCAATGATCAAAATGCGGCAATCAATGGTTTGTGAGACAGTAAGGACTGCAGATGCTGCAAGTTAGAGTCGATAAAATGTGGAGCTGCATGAGCACAGCAGGTCAGGCAATATCAGAGGAGCAGGAAAGTCATGTTTCAGGCCTGGGGAGGGGGAAGGGAGCTCAGAAATAAATACAGGGAAGGGGGTGGGCCTGGGGGAAGGTAGGTGGGATGGTGACAGGTGGATGCAGGTAGGGGTTTGTAGAGATTGATCAGTGGGAAGAGGGAAGTGGATAGGTGAGAAGGAAGATGGACAGGGTGTATCAGGTCAAGGAGGCGGGGATGAGCGGGAGGGCTGGACATATAAGGTGTTCCTCCAGTTTACATGTGGCCTCATTTTTACAGAGGAGGTGGTCCAGAATGGACATGTCACCAAAGGAGTGGGAGGGGGAGTTGAAATGACTGGCAACTGGAAGGTGGTATTGATTGCAGCATACGAAACATAGGTGCTCTACAAATCAGTCCCCGAGTCTGCACTTGGTCTCCCCAGTATACAAGAGACTACATAGGGACTAACGGATGCAATAAGCCAGGTTAGAAGATGTACAGGTGAATCTCTGCTGGATATGGAATGATGGTTTGTGGCCTTGGATGGAGGTGAGAGGGGAGGCGTGGGGGCAGGTGTAGCACTTCCTGTGGTTGCAGGGAAAGATGCCGGGTGAGTTGCATAGGTTGGTGGTGAGTGTGGAGCTGACGAGGGAATCATGGAGTGAGCAGTCCCTATGGAAAGCAGATAGGAGTGGGGTAAGGAAATATCTTTTTGGTGGTCGGCCAGACATGTCTAGGTAAATTTTCACACTTATGGGGAGATGCCACTGTCACAGCCATACTGGAATGGCTTGGCTAAGGGTCATTTAGCTCTGGAGCACATGCCTTCATTATTAATGCCAGAATGTTGTCAGGGCTTCTTGCCTTTGCTGTAAGCCATACTTTCAGCTGTTTCTGATAATCACATGGAGGGAATTGAAGACTGGCATCTGTGGTGCTTGGACATTCAGGAGGAAGCTAAGATGGGCAATCCATTTGGCATTTTTGATTGAAAATGGTTGCAAAAGCTTTAGCCTTGTCTATTGCTCCGATGTGCAGGGCCACCCCATTTTGAATACAGAAACACTACTGCAGCTTCCTCCTGCAGTGAGTCGTTTAACTGCCCACCACCATTCATGACTGGACATAACAAGAATGCAGAGCTAGATCCGATCCATTATTAGTGAGATCACTTAGTTTTATCATATGCTGCTTCTGCTGGTTGGCTTGCAAGTAGTCCTGTGTTGCGGCTTCACCCAATTAACTGCCAATGTAACACTGTTGCAATTTTTATTTCCATCAATTCAAATGATTGAGGCAACTCTGAATCATAGGTTAACTACAAAACTTTATTTCTTAATTCTTTTTCCACTCTTGCTATTACTGAGTTATGTATTTGCTGGTCATTTTCTCATTCTTGTACCTGTTCAAAGCCTTTCACTCCCAGCTCTGTGTTGAGTTGCCCAGCAGCAGTTGTGTCCTTTGTGTCCTCCCCAGTTGCACTGGACCTGACAGCCAAGCGCTCCTCTGCTCCCAGCAGCCTCAGCTCTGTCAGCTGTTCATGAATGGCATGTTCTATCTCTGGAGACAGTTTGGTTGTCCTGAACAATTCAACACATCTGAGGAAAAATTAAAAGGCAGGTTCATTTGCTGAAACCCAAACCTAATTTAGAGTATTTTGTTCAACCTACAAAAGAAAAGGTGTAAGATTTTCTTTTTGTTTTCAAATAAGTCTCAATATTAATCAATTTCCTTTCTGAAACTTTGTAAATTTGTTTTCCAATTTGTATTTGATTCTGGCTGCGTACCCTCATTAATTGACTTGTCACAGTTGCAACATTACACCTTTAAGGGAACTAAGTCCTGACTTTATTCTGAGCATACCGTCCATCATGTTGTGTGACAATATCACCACTCAAAATGGGAAAAATTACAAATAAATGTAGCAGTCAAAACTGGGCATCCATGAGGCACTATGGACTGTCAGTTGGGGCAGAATTGTATTCTACACAATCTGTAACCTCATGTCCTGACATGCTGACAGTCTATCTTTACAGCAAGCCAGATAGTCAACCCTGGTTCAATGGAAGTACAAGATAACATGCACCAGGTATACCTAAATGTGAGGTGTCAATCTAGTGAAGTTGCTATAAATAGTAGGTAGAGTCACCGTCATCCCAGAGAATTGTTCTCTCACTGGTGAGAGACAACTAACGGTGAGGTTAACCTGAGGGTGACCACACGCCAACTGAAATTGTGAAGCAAAGACCTTCATGGTGTTCTCAGCCAGTAGCAGGAATGGAACCCAATACTGTTGGTATCACTCTACAGTGCAAGCCAGCTGTCCAGTCAACTGTTCAGGACTACAGATTCACTATACAGTGAAACATGCAATAGATGGAACTAAGAAATCCCACAATCAATGGGTCAGATCAAAGCTTTGCAGTCCTGTTGCATGCAGTCACAAATAGTCTTTGACAAACAATTAACAGGAAGAGAAGGCTCCACAAGTATCTGTAGCCTCAATTATAGAGGAGTAAAAGGCAAGGCTGAAGCATTTGCAACCATATTTAGCTAGAAGTGCCAAGTGGATAATTTGAGCAACATACAAGTTTGGACTGAGAAGTGGTGGGAATATTCATACTGCATAAGTTCCATATAATGACCATTCCAAAGAAGAATATGTTTAACAACCTTCTCTCAATAATCACCAGTATTAACATTACTGAACTCCCTATAATCAATATCTTAAATGACATCGATTTTCAGAAACCTAACTACAACAAAACAAATACATGATGACAAAAGCAGCTCAGAGGTGAGAAATTCTTGATGACCTGACTCACTAAATTCTTCCATTACTTGCAAGCCACAAGTCAGGAGTGTGATGGAAAATATTCCATTCGCTTAGATAAGCATTTCTCCAACAAGGCTCAAGTAGCTCAACACTAATCAGGGTAGAGCAGACCTCTTGACTGGCATCCTATCAACTTCTTTGGAATTCACTTCCTTCATCACCAGTGCACCATGACTACATGTGCACCACCTACAAGTTGTCTTATAGGAACTCACAAGTACTTCAATAGTACCTTTGAAAACTGCCAATTAGAAGGACAAGAGCAGAAGGCACATAGAAAGGTCACCAGCTCCAAACTGCATTAAATTTTTGAGATAATAAGGTGTAGAGCTGGATGAACACAGCAGGCCAAGCAGCATCATAGAAGCAGGAAGGCTGACGTTTCGGGCCTAGACACTTCTTTTGTCTTCACTTCTAATGGTAACTGTCTATGTCAACTTGTCACATAGTCATCACAGAGGCAAGACTGATTGCTTTAAGTTTGCTAAAATTGCAGCCTGAAAAGTTTACACTGGTCATTGTTCTATAACTGTGGACTTGGGAATTTATGGTGGAAATGTGAAACTGTGTTTACCTGATCAACTGCAGGTTGTATCAGATTGTGGATAAAACTGCAGGTTGTATCAAATTGTGGACAACCAATCCTGTTTGACCCTGAGCAAATTTTCCATCTCCATATCCTCTCCATCACAAAACTTGTATATAAGCCCAGGACTTGCTTGAACAGTCACATGTGTCTCTTTGTCAGTTTTAAACTTAATTATTCTCCTGTGTTTTAAGTTGGCATTGCATCTTCCACCCTCATTAAAGTACAGCTCAACCAAAGCTGTACTCCCTGTTTCCTTATGCTCACAAAGTCCTGCTCACCCGTGTGCAAGTATTCATTCAGCTACATTAGCTTCCAGTTAAACAGCTCCTTTCTTCTGAAATATCAATCATTATACTTTCATGGCCTCCCCCAGTCTTTATAACCTACAAACATTTGAACTGGAGACTCTCAAGGCACAATGACAGCACTGGTCTCCTTCCCAATGGTGTCACATCTCTGTACTGTTCCCAATCCTGATAAATCAGACTCAGTTTACTCATAACAGCTTTGTTCTTATAAAATCTGCAAATCACAAATACAATATCATAGTAAATGAGCTGGTACATGGTAAATTCTGTCAAAGTATTTTTAATTGAGTTTACCTTTCACACAGTTCACGAAGATTTTCATCTTTATTTCCATTGCTAAAATTCAGAAAGAGCATCATTAAAAATGAGGAAGTGATCACAGCTGACAGAATTCTGACATGTTGCAGATCAGTGTGCGGTCAATTCAAAAGTGCAATTGAAATTGTATCAATCTAATGTTGAAACTGAAGTTGGATTTTTCCAATCAGATTATATTGCTTCAAGTAACAGAATGACAATACCAGGCCATGTAGTTCAGCTCTGTTACTGTTTGCTGAAGACAGCTGTTCTTTTTCATCTGATGTTCCAGGGCTGCAATTGTGACACAGAGTCCAATAGGTACAAAAAACTGATAGACAAATAAAAAACAGGATATTAACTTATTAGGAATGAGCTAATATTATTTATCACTTTAATTCAATTATCCAATTGATCCTATTGCAACTATTTGCACAATATCAGAATACACTTGTTCTTGTTTGCCTTGGCTGCATTCTAAGCACCATGAAAGAGTACTAAGGCATCCAAGTCTGTGCAATTCTGTACTTCAGCTAGATTTACACATGTCAAGTAGGCAAAAGGACAAAGGCCAAACAGCAATCATGTTTGGAATAGATCTAGGAAAATATATCTGGGATAAGGATTTTAATTTCCTGAAATGTGAATAGCAATCCAAAGTGACCTATCCACAGCAGTCTCTGGTATGTCAAGGTGTCTGGAATTGTGTATTGTGTTCCAAAGTTCACTAGCAGACTTGCATCAATTAGCCAGATGGATTGGCTCAACACACCTTGTGTTTATATGGTTACATTCCCTGGGAATTCTGCTGGCAAGTTCAAGACGACTTGACTCTATAAGAGTCAGCATCGAGAACAGTTACCACTAGTACAAGTTTTTAGCTTTGCATACATGTTAATTACATTATTATTTTGATATCTTCACATATTGTTCACGACTGATGAACTGGTTTAACAATTAGGCCACGTTCTTCCAAATTATTTCCTTAAAATGTCGCCATTTAGATTAAGTTTGTTAATCTATTAGAGTTATTACCCTAGTGGGTGGAATCTGGCCTCTGATCATAAAGTTGCAAGTTCAAGCCCTACTCCGGACACTTGGGCACCAAATTCTAACCTGATGCTACAGTGCAGTGCAATGCTGAGAGAGCTGCACTGTCAAAGGTGCCATTTTTTTGTGGATGAGTTAAAAAAAAGGTACAATCTGCTCTCTGAGGTAAAAGATCTCATGGCACTATTTTGGAGAAAGGCTTGACAGTTAGCTAGGGTGTCCTGGTCAATATCTATCCCCCAGTTCAGATCATAAGAATGGATTATCTCATCAGTAATGCGTTGTTTTTGTGTTATGTTATGTTTTTACAGTTATTACGCCTTTAACAGATATGCTCCTCATATTATCACTGTATCATAACATGTGTCCTGAGGGTATATATCACTCAAACTCCATCTTAATTTGGGCCACTGGAAGCATGACACGTTAGTGAAAGTGTGCTCCGCAGAAACCAAATCACTTAACATTAGCACAGACAGTAAAGTGCCTCTGATGGTAACATTTGTATATGATAGGAGCCACAATAAGATGCAATAGATGGTTAAGTCCTTCTTCTTAACTTGCAATAAGACTGTAAAGGAAAACTTGATCCAATATCAGAGCATTTTTTTTATTAGCCAGCTTAACAGCTAAAGGTGACAAAAATTCTTCAAGCAAAATCGTGAAGGCACAATACTGTACATGGTCAAAAGCATTTTGATTCACTATATAGCATAGGCACAGTTATACAAAAATACTTCTTTAAAGACAGGGAACTAACTTTTCTTCACTGTTTTTATGAGATAATATGGCAAAAATTGTACTCACGCATACTGTTTGCATACACATAACAGGTATCTGCTCTGCAGCATCTATAATACACTGGCCATTGGTTAATATGATAGGTTACATATTATACACTATGTTGCTGAGTTTATATGTCAAGTGCCATTGCATCAGGATTATCCCAACAAAAGCTGTGTAGAAGATACCCATTTGATTTTTTTTTAGTTGCACAGAAAATCAAAAAAAAAGTTAAGTATATAAACAGACCAACTATTTCAGATTAGTTGGCAGATCTACCTATCACCTGAAATGATGTAAAGGTGCCGGTGTTGGACTGGGATGGACAAAGTCAGAAGACACATGACACAAAGTTATAGCCCAACAGATTTATTTGAAAACACAAGCTTTCAGAGCGCTGCTCCTTCGTCAGGTGATTTCTGACTTTATCTCTTGAAACACAGTGAAGGTGGAGAGGCAGGTGAGGATGAGCACAATGACATTCCCTCTTATCTCTCTCTCATACTGCAGCAAGGATCACGTTAAGACTGGGGAATGCTATCCACAGTAAAATCTGCTCACTGAATGTTGTGAAAGAAATACATGCCAAAGTTAGGACCCACTACTGACAAGTAGGAGAGGGCCATGGTTGGTAACTGGCATAGTTTTGTGTGGGCATCCTTTGGATAAGGAGTCTGTCTGACATTTGGAGTCGCAAGATAAGTGAGCCACAAAACACTGCAAATCGCACACCTTGCAGACTTGAAAAGGTGTCACCATGTGTCACTTGGTCAAAGTATTGGAATGTCAAAACTAACAGGATTGTGTGTGTACCTACGCCACCAGGACTGAAGTGATTCAAGATGGCAGCCCACCACCACCTTCTCAAGGACAAAAATGAATGATCACAAATATTGGTCTTTCCAGTGATCTCATGAACACTTTTTTTTAAATTGACCTGGAAGACTAATGTATGCTGTCAGCAGGAGCAAAGCAGCAGACGTGTGTGGAGGAGTAGCCCATTCAAAATTCTAATTAGCCTTTTAAAGTAACTCAGTAATTCACCAGCTTTAATTTACACCAGATTAAGTCCCTCCATTCTGAAGCATGTTCACAGTATTCTGATAAATGTTTGAAAATCTTTATTTGCTCAACTGGTCTTCTGCTGTCATACTCACAAGAGGGAAAAGTAATGTGGGAACAAGTCATGTTAACATTAAGGATATAAAGAACCGTGTGCAGCAGGTTTATAGTAAATTAAAAGAAATATTAGCAATGTACTTGAACATTATAATTTCATTTCTGAAGGCCAGCTTAATTCAAAATGGACAGATCTGGTTAAGTTCTAGTAGCTGTTGAAGGTCAGTAAATGACATGAACTGCACCAATCTCTATTCATTCTCCAGATGTACTGAGTGCACAGCACAAATGGAAATGACATCAAGAACACTATACCTGATGCATTCTCAATTCTGAGTAGCCTCCTACTTTTTAAACAAAACATTTGAGAACCAATTTTCTAATGTTAACAGAGAGGCTGTTGTGGTGAGCCAGCATTAATGAGTATTATTGAATCTTGGGAGTTTCCATTCACTTAAAGTAATGGATAGAAAACCACAGTCAGTTTGTCAATGAGTTTCTGATTTGCACAGTCAGACCTAGCAATTTGGCCAAGTGAGTGACCCTGACAGTATCTCTGTTAGTCCTCACTGACTAATTAACATATGTTCAGCATTAAGTATTCTTTTGCAAAACTTCGAAATATTATAACTATTCAGATGGCGAATTTAAAACGCGTGTCACCCTGACAATTTCTGCTAAACAGCATTGAAACCCTGCTCGTAAATGAATCACTCAAAATGGCAGTTCAGCAATAAATCTTCCACAATTTTTGGACCATCTTTAAAAGTTCATAAAAACATCTTTCTCCGGAAACCTCATTTGGATGGGGAGGTGGGACAGAGTGAAGCTCAGTTGCTAATACTTTAACCTTGGTCAAACAGCTATTGTATTTACACACACTGACAAAATGTTCAAACAATATCCGAGACACACAATGGCATGTTTGCTTTCTGTCAACCCACCTGATTCCTAAGGCGGTTTTGCACTTCCAATAGTTGTGCCAACTGAGCTCCTTTACTGCCTACCACTGCAGTACATTGGCATGTCTTATCAGAGAGTGCCAACACCAGCTTGGAGCATGCTGGCACCACAGGTTCCTGCAATTTTTCAAATGGTATAAAGTCTGGAGCCTGCCGACCACTCTCATTTCTAAACAAAGGGGAAGGAAATCCGTTATTTTTTTAACATTAAAGGAAAATATTTTGGTAACTATATTGATTAGCTTTTCACAAAAAAACCTACCTGTAATGAAGTTCCATTATGCCCCAGCCACGAACAGTTAAATTCAGACGGTAATTTGTCACGCACTCATGGATTCTACTTTCCCAGTTTAGTCCCCCATATATCACAGGAGAAGCATCCTTATCGATTGACACTTGCAGGTGAAATAACTGACCTTCTATGGCGGGAAAATGAAAAGTATGCAATGGATAAATCGGATGATACCCGAAATATGTTTATATGTATTGTAACAAAAAACATCACTCAAAATGTGTATATTGTTGAAAAAGGAGAGAAGTTGCAAAAGCTTTTTATCTTTATCTTTCATCAGAACAAACACAAGAATGACAAGTGGCAAATCAATAACAACAACTTATAGAGTAATAGAGATGTACAGCATGGAAACAGACCCTTCGGTCCAATTCATCCATGCTGGCCAGATATCCAAAATTAATCTAGTCCTATTTGCCAGCATTTGGCCCATATCCCTCTAAACCCTGCCTATTCATATACCCATCCAGATGCCTTTTAAATGCTGTAATTGTACCAGCCTCCACCACTTCCTCTTGCAGCTCATTCCATACATGCACCACCCTCTGCCTGAAAAAGTTGCCCCTTAGGTCCCTTTTAAATCTTTCCCCTCTCACCTTAGACCTATGCCCTCCATTTCTGACTCCCCTCCCCTGGGAAAAATATTTTGGCTATCCACCCGATATATACCCCTCATGATTTTCTAAACCTCTCTCAGCCTCCCTCATCATCCCTCAGTTATCCCTCAGCCTCTGGTGCTCCAGGAAAATAGCCCCAGTCTATTCAGCCTCTCCCTACGGCTCAAACCCTCCAACCCCCTTGTAAATCTTTTCTGAACCCTTTCAAATTTCACACTATCCTTCCTACAGCAGGGAGGCCAGAATTGAACATTGTACTCCTACAAAAGAACAGGATGCTGATTGGTTGGCAATTTGAATCTGATTGCCCAAGGCAGTACAAAAGAGAGACCAATAGGGAACCTTTGGTTCTGTACGCTCATGGAAAATTAGAAAAGGTGCATGGCTTGAACTTATTTCTTTCATTTACAAAGAATATGCTCCTGCAGATCATAGAATCCCTACAGTGTGGAAACAGGCCATTTGGCCCAACAAGTCCACACCACCCCTCTGAAGAGCATCCCACCCAGACCCATTTCCCTACCCCTGATTTCCCCATGTCTGACCCAAACATCCCTAAACACTGCGGCAATTTAGCATGGCCAATCCACCTAACCTGCACATCTTTAGACTGTGGAAGGAAACCGGAGGACCCGAAGGAAACCCGCATAGACACAGGGAGAATATGCAAACTCCACACAGACAGTCGCCCAAGGCTGGAATTGAACCTGGGTCCCTGGCGCTGTGAGGCAGCACTGCTAACTGCTGAGTCACCGTGCCATGAAACATGTCACTTCCAGAAAGTGTAAAAAAGCACCAGATAATGAACAAGAAGGATAATTTTAAATTGGTTGTTAGCATTGTTGTTAGTACACTTGGAACTGGTCCGCAAATCTTTCCCAATCAAACACAAGACACTGTTCTTTGGGTTTGCAAGTGGTTGATGATGATCTGGCCAATACATAGATATAGAAGCCTACCTGAATTTAGTAGTTGATATGTTCCATCAACTTACCTGCTGTAAAACTGATTCTGTACAGGTCAGCAATGTTCCCATCATCAGCAATATCAGTTAAAGAGGCATCTGACCAGTCAATCCCAACCTTTTTTCCGTTTGGAAACATCACATAACCTATTGTCATACTGAGAGAACATTATGAATATTTAAAAAATTAAACAAGTTTAAGTTCCTTTTAATGATATTTGACATTGAAGGCAATATACAAATGGAAGTCTTTTTATTATACTGATCGTTATGTTCTTAAAGGAACATAAGAACATAAGAACTAGGAGCAGGAGTAGGCCGTCTGGCCCTTCGAGCCTGCTCCGCCATTCAATAAGATCATGGCTGATCTTTTCGTGGACTCAGATCCACTTACCCGCGTTCTCACCGTATCCCTTAATTTCTTTATTGGCAAAGGTATTTCATAACTTGAATCATATAGAGCAATAGAGGCTGTTCAGCTCAACAAGTCTGCATTGACCCTCTGGAGAGTATCCCACCCAGACTCCATCCTATCCCCACATTTACCATAGCTACCCACTTAGCCTGCACAACACTAGACATTACAGGGCAATTTAGCATGGCCAATTCACCCAGCTTGCACATCTTCAGACTATGGGAAGAAACTCACACAGTCACAGGGATTCACCTGAGGTTGGAATTGAACCTGGGTCCCTGGTGCTGTGAGGCAGCAGTGCCAACCACAGTGCTGCCCCCAGTGAAGTAGGGCTCATCTGGGATATAAATCTTGTTTACTGCTGTTACAAAATGCAGTTTGCCAAGTGATTTGGCTTCGAAATACACGAAGGATCTGAAATTACACATACTAATGATAGTTCCAGCCTTCAGTCTCATAGGATAATGCATTATGAAAGTCAACTCTCTGTTACCCTGGTCCCTGTGTATGTTAACACTCTCCAAAAAGACTGGAGTGTCCTCTCCAAGGTGCAAGCCTGGGAAAAATGTCAAAGATACTACTTGACCTCCCCATTCAAGGGCAAAGCAATTCAAAGCACAACTTTCAGCAACTGCTTGATTGCAGGAGCTGTCAGAAGGATGATGCATTCAGCCTGTCTTCCCGGTTTCTGCCTTGTTTCCTCCCTTGGCCTTCAACTCTCCTGCATTATCCATAAGGCAGTGGAGTTATTTTCCCAGAATTGAGGCTTTAATTCATGAGAATTAGGGCATGTCCATACTCTGGCGAGCCTCACACTGCAAGCCTGGAAGCCAAACCACTTATATGCTCCTCTGCAACTATAGCATTGGGCTACATTAATTTCCTGGGCTGCAGCAAGTGACTTGCTAATGGGGACAGGGAAAGATTTACGTACTTGACTAGTTAACAAAAGTGATAATTCTCTTCATCTACACAGATCACTTCAATCCGTTGGACAGACAGACATTAATTAGTAACTCATAATACATATCGGAAAATGTCAGGCCTGGTGTATTTTGACACAAGTGAATCTTTAATGGAGCAATATACCTTACAACCAGAACAATCTCAGCTCCTGAAAATTTACTTTAATAAATGGAGAGTGTCATTCCTTCAGAATTTAGTGTTAGAGATTTTGTTAAAATCAAAAATTAAAAACATTTTTTAACTTTGTCTATTTCTTACTTCAGTTCCATCTCCTTCACTTCTCTTTATTTTGCCTTTTTAACAATTTCACATTCAATTAAAACACATATTTGAAACTTGGTGTGGTTCAGTGAGGACCTTTCAATTTACTGATTGATGAGACACACTGTTTTCCTATTTGCACAAATCCCAGTTCTCTGAACTAAAAAGAATATCATGTTATTTTCAGTTATCTTGCAAATGGCCACAAAAGTCCTGTGGGTAGCTTCAAGTGCCATGAATCACAATGATAAAAGAAAGGCAAAAATGTTTTTATGCAAGTTAGAACATGGAACAGTGCAGCACAGGAACAGACCCTTTGGCCAACCATGTAAGTGGATGGATTGACTACATTAGCAATCTACATTCAATCAAATGCATAAATTCTCTCACCTCCAGATAAAATTCTGAATGCATTATGAACCTCATCAGAACATACCAACACGCATTACTTACTTTGTTGTGGTTGCAGGAATGGAGAGAATTATTAAATTCATTGATAATCCATTCTACAAGAAATAACAGAATGTATTTATAAGCCTATTTTCTAAGCAACGTAAAACAATCCCAACAATGTAAACACTTTAGGCTAGATTCAACTCACTCCATGAATGCATAGGCAATTATTTTCTTTTTTTTTTCCACAGGAAGGGGGTCTAGGCACTATCAACGAGGCCTGTTGATACAGTTGTCTGTCTTTCACTTAGAGGCTTATAAGACCATGTCAGAGGGCAGTTAAATTCAACTACGTTGCAGTGGATCTGGAGTTACATTGGGTCAGACCAGGTAAGGATGGCAGATTTCCTTCTCTAAAGGTTATTAGTGAACCAGATGAGTTTTTATGGTAAAGAGAGATAGATTTTTGAACAGGAAAAGGAATTAAGGGTTATGGCAAGTGGGCAGGTGGGTGGAGATGAGTCCACACAAAAAGATCAGCCACAATCTTGTTGAATGGCAGAGCAGGCTCGATAAGCCAGATGGCCTACTCCTGCTCCTATTTCTAATGTCCTGATGTTCTTACAACTAGGTTCATGGTCGCAATTATTGAGTCTAGCTTTCAATTCCAGATTTGTTTATTAATTGGATTTAAATCCCACAAGGTGCCAAGGTGTGAAGTCTACTCACATCCTGGAGAATTCACTTGGATCTCCGATTACTCGTCCAATAAAATTATACTAAGTAACAATCTCCAAATTGCAAACTGATACAGAAATCAACAAAAATGTTTTGAAGAAATAAATTGTAGAGTGTGATTGGTATGGATTAAATTTTTTCCTTTGGTGAAAATGTAACCAAGTGAGAGAAACATTTATTGTAGATGCAAGCAGATCATTTAACTAGGACTAAACGAGAAATTGCTCGAGAAACTCAACCCTGTTCTGAAAAAGGGTCACTGGACCTGAAATGTTAACTCTGCCTTCTCTCCATAGATGCTGCCAGACCTGCAGAGTTTCTCCAGCAATTTCTGTTTTTATTTCATGCTTCCAGCATTCGCAATTCTTTATTTTGTTTTATCCAGCTAGGACTGTTCACTTGGGTACAAGCTGAAAATTAACAAGCCCTCTCCAAGACTTAAAAGGAGGATACTTTCTTCTTGGGACCATGTGGTAAATCTTTCAATCGACGCATTGAAGCTGTGCTGTTAATACCATTACTGATCGATTTCATTCAGCAAGGCACAAATGGAACTATGGTTCTAATCAGACAGACACAATGAAAAGGTTGTTTTTTTTGGTCACTTGGTAGCACAGTAGCACAGTGGTTAGCACTGTTGTCTCACAGCACCAGGGACGCAGGCTCAATTCCAGCCTCGGGTGACTGTCTGTGTGGAATTTGCATATTCTCCCTGTGTCTGTGTGGGTTTCCTCCCACAGTTCAAAGATGTGCAGGTTAGGTGGTTTGGGCATACCAATTGTCCCGTAATGTGCGAGCTAGGAAAATTAATTGTAAATGCAGGGATGGGGTGTGGGGTCTGGGTGGGATGCTTTTTGGAGGGTTAGTCAGACTTGATGAGCCAAATGGCCTCCAGCTGCACTGTAGGGGTTCTATGACTTTTTTTCACTGGATGTGGACATTGTTGGCTAAGGCATCATTTATTGTCCATCCCTAATGGCCCTTGAAAAGCTCCTGGTGGGCTGCCTTCTTGATCTACTGCCATCAATGGTATGTAGGGTCAACCACAGTGCTATTAGGATGGGACTGACCGACAGTGAATGAATATCAATAGCTTGAAAGGGAACCTTCAATTTTTATGTAGCTGCTGCCTTTGTCCTTCTAGAGAAGAGACAGATCATAGATTTGGAAGATGCTGTCTTAAGACCCATGATGAGTTGTTACAGTGCATCTTGTAAATGCTACACACTGTTGACACTGTGCCGCAATACAGGGAACGCAGGGTGAACCTGATAAACAGGGTGCCAATCAAGCAGGCTGCTGTGGCCTGGGTGATGTTAAGCTTCTTACGTATTGTTGGAGCTGTGCTCATTCAGGCAAATGGCGATTGTTCCATCACACTCCTGACTTGTACCTTATGGAGAAGGTCTGGGGAGTTAGGAGGTGAGTTACTTGCTGCAGCATTCCCAGCCTCTGACTAGCTCTTGCATATTTAGAAATGTCAAATCAAGCTACAAATTTGAAAGAATAAATTGTACAGAATATATAAATAAGTCTTTATTTTGAAAGTAGAGTAATATACTTTTCCAGTTAACATTTTCATACTAGGTCTTTCACAAAGGGAGCTTCATTTCTGCCTTCTGACCTAATCATGGTACAGCAACTGCAAGAATTGAAGATAACTTGACATACTTGGGATCTTTAGTAATGAATCGTATATATTTAAAATTAGCTTAGAGTATCAAATATCAACTAATTGTAAAGAAATTTGAGATAGTGTTTGGACTCACTTAAACATTCCTATCACAGTGTTAATCCATGTGGAACACATTTTTGTATCACGTGATACAATTAATTATCTACAGTACATGCCACATTATAGAAGCATAAGGACTTGCATTGAAAATAAAATGTGCTAGTGAAATAAGCTATGAAAATCTAAATGTTCCCGAATAGTTATATTGGAATACAAGTACGGACATATCAAACTGGTTGCATCATGATCCTTTGGAAAGTTAACATAATTACCTCAAAGTGTGCTAAAAGCAAAACATAGCGATGCATATGTGCCCAATTTCTGATACCTATGGATAAATATTAACATTATTAGGACCATCATTCATTTTATAACTTGTAATTTATGTAACATCATGTTAAATCACTACCACTCTGAACATCCCATGAATCTTTTCTTGGGGTATCATTAGCCCCTTCTTTTAAAAAATCCAGGGTTTTGCCTCTCTGGGAAGTTACATGGCAGGTGAAGGACCACTGTGTCTTTTACTGTCCATAGGTTTCGTATATTAATCATAGAATCCCTACAGTGTGGAAACAGGCCCTTCAGCCCAACAAGGCCACAATGCCCCTCAGAGCACCCCAGCCAGACCCATCCCTCAACCCACCTAATCTACACATCCCTGAACACTATGGACAATTTAGCATGGCCAATCTACATAGCATGCACATCTTTGGACTGTGGGAAGAAAATGGAGTGCCCGGAGGAAACCCACGCAGACACGGGGAGAATGTGCAAACTCCACACCGACAGTCGCCCGAGGGTGAAATCGAACCCAGGTCCCTGGTGCTGTGAGGCAGCAGTATTAACCACTGAGCCTCCATGCCGTCCATTAGAGTGCAATTACAGAAAGTCAAATAATTCTAAATTTATAAACATTTGTATGGCTTTTTTTTGCTTAAGTGTGTTAGAAAGAACATTTCCAGTATAGTCATCTGACAGTATAGAACTTGAGAATTGTTGACAAAAATATGCATTTTGTTAAAGCTTCTCATCTTGTACTCTTCAAGACAATTCACAAGAAATACTAATGTAAAGGGAAAACACCATTTATACTGCAAGAGAGGGGAGTTCATAGACAAGTGGATTATGATTGGCAGAGGCATTGCCATGGAGAGTGTACTAGTTAATTGTAAACAACATATACTTTTTAAATTTTCCTTTTCTTTGAATTTGCAATGAATTACGAGAAGGATTATTTTACAAGCAAGGATTGAGTAGCAAATTGCTACATTTTTCAAAAGCAAGTCACAGAAACTCATTGCAAGTTGTGTTTATACTATTGCTTTATTCAAGCTGTTTGTCGATTGGTTGGCACCAGTGACTGTATACAAAGAGCGATTCGGCTGGCAACAGGGTGCAGATTGGTCTGTGGAATTGCTATGAATGTCAAAGGTCATTAACCTGACAGCAACTCACTGATTGCTTCCTAGGTGAACAGCTTGTAGGCGTGAACAATGCATGGACAGTAAAAATACCTGACATCTGAAGAAAGCCAATTATTTTCTCCCCCTAATTGCTGTGCACTGTAGCTTTTAACGAGTAACTATGAGACTTTCAGTTCATAATCAATTGCCTGTGCCTCATGCAGGACCTGGAGAAAGAAGGTGAAGAACAGAAAATCCTGGCAAGCAAAAGGATCATGGAAGCAAACCCTGGGGACTGGAGTCATTGAACCAATTTTCAATTTTCCCTCTCTACCTTAACACAAATTCTTTTGTTCATCTGTGGCTGCCTATACAGTTGTGTAGACAGGTTTTAGAAGGGGGTTATGGTTTTAAAGAGTAGAGCTCCTGTTGATAGTTCATAGTTATTTACCTGTGGTTAGAATCTATTTGTAAAAATAGTAGGTGTTATTAGATACAAAACTGGCTGTCCAACAGAAGACAGAGGGTGGTAGTAGATGGAAAGCATTCAGCCTGGAGCTCGGTGATCAGTGGTGCTCTGCAGGGATCTGTTCTGGGATCTCTGCTCTTTGTGATCTTTACAAATGACTCGGATGAGGAAATGGAAGGGTGAGTTAGTGATTTTGCCGATGACACGAAGGTTGGGGGAGTTGTGGTCGGCGTGGAGGGCTGTTGTAGGTTGTAATGGGACATTGACAGGATGCAGAGCTGGGCAAAGAAGTGGTAGATGGAATTCAACCCAGAAAAGTGTGAAGTGATTTATTTTGGAAGGTTGAATTTGAATGCAGCATACACGGTTAATAGCAGGATTCTCAGCAGTGTGGAGGAACAGAAGGATCTTAGGGTCCATGTCCATAGATCCCTCAAAGTTGCTACCCAAGTTGATAGGGTTGTAAAGAAGGCGTATAGTGTGTTGGCTTTCATTGGCGGGGGAATTGAGTTTAAGAGCCGCAAGGTTATGCTGCAGCTCTATAAAACTCTGGTTAGACCACACTTGGAATACTGTGTTCAGTTCTGGTCACCTCATTATAGGAGAGATGTGGAAGCTTTAGACAGGGTGCAGAGGAGATTTACTAGGATGCTGGCTGGACTGGAGGGCAGGTCTTATGAGGAAAGGTTGAGGGAGCTAAAAGGTTGGAGTGAAGAAGGACGAGAGGTGACTTGACAGAGGTGTGCAAGATGATGAGAGGCATTGATAGAGTGGATAGTCAGAGACATTCTCCCAGGGCGGAAATTACTATTACAAGGGAGCATAATTTTAAGGTGATTAGAAGAAGGATTAGGGGAGATGTCAGAGGTAGGTTCTTTACACTGTGGAATGCGCTGCCGGCAGTGGTAGTGGAGTCAGATACTTTAGAGACTTTTAAGCGACTCTTGGATAGGCACATGGAGGATAGTAAAATGTAGGGTATGCAGGGCAGGTTGATCTTAGTAGGATAATAGGTCGGCACAACATCGTGGGCCAAAGGGCCTGTACTGTGCTATACTGTTCTATGTTTTATGTTCTATATTATATTAGGTACAGTTGCCCAGTTCATTTTTTCAGTTAACCTGGGTTAATCTGACAGGTAAACTGGGGACTTTACATACGCTGATAAAACTTTTAACTTTTATAATGACTCTAGGCACAGCAGAGCTTCATTTCAAATGGGCGACCTCAGTGAGGTGCAACATAGTAATGACTGATAGTTGACTGCCAAGCCTTGTTAAATTTTAAATCTGGGATATTGACTGTGATTGGCTCAAAGCAATGAACCAGGGAATTTTGTTTTGTTAAGTTGAAACAGGCATAGTGTCTGTACACAGAGAGATAACAAGGTGTAGAGCTGGATGAACACAGCAGGCCAAGCAGCATCAGAGGAGCAGGAAGGCTGATGTTTCGGGCCGAGACCCTTCTTCAGAAATGGGGGAGGGGAAGGAGGTTCTGAAATAAATAGGGAGAGTGGGGGAGGCGAATAGAAGATGGATAGAGGAGAAGATAGGTGGAGAGGAGACAGACAGGTCAAAGGGGCGGGGATGGAGCCAGTAAAGGTGAGTGTAGGTGGGGAGTTAGGGAGGAGATAGGTCAGTCCAGGGAGGACGGACAGGTCAAGGGGGCGGGATGAGGTTAGTAGGTAGGAGATGGAGGTGGGACTTGAGGGGGGAGGAGGGGATAGATGGGAGGAGGAAAGGTTAGGGAGGCGGGGACGAGCTGGGTTGGTTTTGAGATGCGGTAGGGGGAGGGGAGATTTTGAAGCTTGTGAAGTCCACATTGATACCATTGGGCTGCAGAGTTCCCAAGTGGAACATGAGCTGCTGTTCCTGCAAACTTCGGGCGGCATCATTGTGGCACTGCAAGAGGCCCAGGATGGACATGTCATCTGAGGAATGGGAAGGGGAGTTGAAATGGTTCGCGACTGGGAGGTGGAGTTGTTTAGTGCAAACCGAGAATAGGTGTTCTGCAAAGCGGTCCCCAAGACTCCGCTTGGTTTCCCCGATGTAGAGGAGGCCACAATGGGAACAGCGGATGCAGTATACCACATTAGCAAATATGCAGATGAACATCTGTTTGATGTGGAAGGTCTTCCTGGGGCCTGGGATGGAGGTGAGAGGGGAGGTGTAGGGGCAGGTGTAGCACTTCCTGTGGTTGCAGGGAAAAGTGCCGGGTGTGGTGGGAGCACAAGGCAGCGCCTATACAGTCATCAATGTAACTGAGGAAGATGTGGGGTTTAGGGCCAGTGTAGCTATGGAAGAGGGATTGTTCCACGTAACCTACAAAGAGGCAGGCAGCGGGTACCCATGGCCACCCCCTTTGTCTGTGCCTGACTGCCCTAGTCGACCCATTGTCTCCGCCTGCTCCTGCCCCACCAAACTTATCTCCACCTATGGCGACTCCATTTTCGTCCCCTTGGTCCAGGAACTCCCTACCTACGTCCATGACACCACCCACGCCCTCCACCTCCTCCAGAACTTCCAATTCCCCGGTCCCCAACACCTCATCTTTACCATGGACGTTCAGTCCCTCTACACCTGCATTCCCCATGCAGATGGCCTAAAGGCCCTCCGCTTCTTCCTATCCCGCAGGCCCGACCAGTCCCCCTCCACTGACACCCTCATCCGCTTAGCCGAACTCGTCCTTACCCTCAACAACTTCTCTTTCAATTCCTCCCACTTCCTACAGACGAAAGGGGTGGCCATGGGTACCCGCATGGGCCCAAGCTATGCCTGCCTCTTTGTAGGTTACGTGGAACAATCTCTCTTCCATAGCTACACTGGCCCTAAACCCCACCTCTTCCTCCGTTACATTGATGACTGTATCGGCGCCGCCTTGTGCTCCCACAAGGAGCTCGAACAGTTCATCCACTTCACCAACACCTTCCACCCTAACCTTAAGTTCACCTGGACCATCTCTGATATCTCTCTCTCCTTCCTGGACCTCTCTGTTTCCATCTCTGGCAACCACCTAGAAACTGATATCCATTTCAAGCCCACCGACTCCCACAGCTACCGAGAATACACCTCCGCCCACCCACCTTCCTGCAAAAATGCCATCCCCTATTCCCAGTTACTTCACCTCCGCTGCATCTGCTCCCAGGATGAGGCAGTCCACTCCCGTACATCTCAGATGTCCTCGTTTTTCAAGGACCACAACATCCCCCCCTCAGTGGTCAAGAATGCCCTCAACCATGTCTCCCGCATTTCCCGCAACTCATCCCTCACACCCGCTCCCCGCAATAACAACCAAAACAGAATCTCCCTCATCGTCACGTACCACTCCACCAACCTCCGGATCCAACGCATCATCCTGCGACACTTCCGCCATCGGCAATCCGACCCCACCACCAGACATTTTTCCCTCCCACCCTTATCTGCTTTCCGGAGGAACCACTCTCTCCGTGACTCCCTTGTCTGCTCCACACTCCCCTCCAGCCCCACCACACCCGGCACTTTTCCCTGCAACCGCAGGAAGTGCTACACCTGCCCCTACACCTCCCCCCTCACCCCCATCCCATGCCCCAAGAAGACTTTCCACATCAAGCAGATGTTCACCTGCACATCTGCCAATGTGGTATACTGCATCCGCTGTTCCCGTTGTGGCCTCCTCTACATCGGGGAAACCAAACGGAGGCTTGGGGACCGCTTTGCAGAACACCTAGTTGGTTCACACTAAACAACTGCACCTCCCAGTCGCGAACCATTTCAACTCCCCCACCCATTCCTCAGACGACATGTCCATCTCGGACCTCCTGCAGTGCCACAACGATGCCACCCGAAGTTTGCAGGAACAGCAACTCATGTTCCGCTTGGGAACCCTGCAGCCCAATGGTATCAATGTGAAATTCACAAGCTTCAAAATCTCCCCTCCCCCTACCGCATCCCAAAACCAGCCCAGCTTGTCCTCGCCTCCCTAACCTGTTCTTCCTCCCACCTATCCCCTCCTCCCACCTCAAGCCCCACCCCCATCTTCTACTAACCTCATCCCGCCCCCTTGACCTGTCCGTCCTCCCTGGACTGACCTATCTCCTCCCTAACTCCCCACCTACACTCACCTTTACTGGCTCCATCCCCGCCTCTTTGACCTGTCTGTCTCCTCTCCACCTATCTTCTCCTCTATCCATCTTCTATCCGCCTCCCCCTCTCTTCCTATTTATTTCAGAACCCCCTTCTCCTCCCCCATTTCTGAAGAAGGGTCTCGGCCCAAAGTGTCAGCCTTCCTGCTCCTCTGATGCTGCTTGGCCTGCTGTGTTCATCCAGCTCGACACCTTGTTATCTCAGATTCTCCAGCATCTGCAATTCCTACTATCTCTAGTGTCTGTACATGTTCTTTTCTGTCTGCAAAGAACAACTTGTAAAATTGTAAAAAAAAAGCTTATGCAATTTTAAGAATTAAAAAAAGCTTCTAATAATTAATTAATTAAAAGGTAATACTGTACATAATTGCTTAATTTGATTTAGGACCACAACCCTTGGTTTCATGCTACAACTGGAACCAGACTGAAATAATCTTTAACAAATGTTACTATGATGGGCCATACATCGTGTCTGACTGAAAATTGTAAATAAGTTGCCAGAACACTCAGAAGTATTTAATAAAATTACTATTCATGAAATTATTCTGTTTTGAATTTTGCAAGCATGGGCTGATTGGATATGGCAAAGTAGCAATTGTCCTGAGGGACCATGTGGCTGCTCTCCCAACACAGAGAGATGACGGGGTTACCACGCCTCAGGTGAGGGGAGAGGTTGAGAAGGAGTATCCTTCATGGTAAGCTCAGCCAGTGCAGGAATTAAACCCATGCTGATGGTGTTACTCTGCATCATAAACCAGCCATCCAGCCAACTAAGCTAACAAACCCCAGCTGAACATTGCAAACTTACAAAGTGATACGTGTTTGTCTTGATCCACCATTTTTTGGGATGTATGGTCATTATGCCAAGTTTCACCCCATTCTCATTGTAGACAGAAAGAACATGCACACTTGTTGTGCTTTTTTAACTCAACTAAATATCTCAGGGTGACCACTTTGGTTAAACAGAGTCAACCTGCTTGATTTAAACAAAGCCTAGCAGCTAACTATCATCTATTTTGTGCATTATTCATGGCAACTCATCTATCATTCAGAATCCAGTTGCCAATGAATCAGCACTTTCCTGTCAAACAGCATAAAATGTTGTTTCCCTTTACATTAGTATTTCTTGCTCACTGCCCTAATGAGTGCAAGACAAAATACTTTGACAAAGTGTCATTTCTAGCAGTACTCAAATTCTAGCAGTTCTGAAATTCATGGATTCAATCTGTCTTGTGGCAGAGCAGTCATTCTGCCTGTTCCTGCACTTTTACTATCAAAGGTGCTCATAGCCTGATGGGCATCGTTCACAATTAGAAGTGTTTTTCTGAACAAAAAATAAACTACAGTGTAGTATAATAATTATTGTCAAGATACTAACTAACTGATTACTGAAGCAAAACAGGTCAGACTTCTATCAACCAGATCACAAGGATAAAGTAATGGCAAAAGCAAATATTGCTCTACTATTTATGCTGCAGTTATACTCATCCAACATTTCAAGAATTGGGTCAGTAAGCAGGCAGCATTGAATCACAAAGACCCATTGCACCAATTGTTCTCTCCCGAAGTTCTAAATGCACATACTTCGGGCTTGAATATTGGAAGTCAGCAATTATCCTGTTGATTCCTGAATAACATTAAATCTCGTGAGTAGCCTTGAGCAACTTGCGCAACTTTAGATTATAACATTTGTTAAAGATTACTTTTGTCTGGTTCTAGTTGTAGCATGAAACCAAGGGTTACAGCCTCAAATCAAATTAAGCAATTATGTGCATTATTACATTTTAATTGGAATTACAATATTTTAATTGAAAACATCCTTTTCTTTATTCAAATTGCAAAACTCATACTATGTTTATCTTTTACATGTTTACAAGGCAATTTTGCTTAAAGTTTGTAAAATGATTCAGGTGAAAAAGAACTGAAAAAGTATGTCAGCTTGATAGCAGTTACGCTGCACATTTTGAATCTCTGAAGCTGTCACTTGAAAATGATACAAGACGTGCAGTTAAACTGCCTTGTTAGACTTTAACTCTAATGTTGGAGAATGAATGACACTCCCATCAGGCACAGAAAAACATGAACATGCATGATATTGCTATGAGATTTCATGCACATCGATAATAATTTTATAATTGAATTTCATGTGATCAATATCTATATATGTTTTCTTTAAGAAATATTTCATCCCATCATCCATCTCCCCAACATTGTTCATTGCTGTAAACTGTGTGCATCATTGGAGAAACATTACAAACAATGAATTTGTAAACTTCTTTTATAATCTGGCAAGTACGATGATCCATTACAGGTACCACCACTGTGAGATACTCCCTTCAGAAAAATTATACTCCTTGCAAACAAATAGTATCTCTGTTCCTCCAAAAGAGAAAATGTCAGTCCACAAAGCCGCATCAACAGATGTTAACAAAATTGGACATTTGGTTTCAGAGGCAATCTAAGTTATAAGATGTGGTCAGGTCAGGTCGTCTGTCCACACATATCATCCTAGCAACAGTCTGCACATTCTAGGAAAAGTGGGCAAAGCGTTGACCAGGTGATGACAGAACCATGCCAGGTGATGTTGTATAAGTGTTCTGAAAAGGTTAATGCTAAGGAATGCCTTAAGTACCATCCACTCTGAAGATGTCATTATGGGCTTGGTGGAAAAACTGCTTAAGATGCCAGCTGAGTAAGATCTACAGTCTAGGTCTATCGCAAAGACTCCATAACAATGTCCAAAATGTACATATTAGAGAAAAAGCAATTTTTGTTACCATAAGAGTGATCTCTTACTCCACGAAGAAGCAGCTCATTTCTCTCATATCCCTCAATCTCAATTTCTCCAACATACTGGCCCCACTGCTCATAATGTGTCTGCTGTTGATTGTACCTGAGAAACACAACATAATACAACATAATTGGGCATTGTAAAACATACACTAATAAAAAGTGACATAATTAATCTCAGTGTTTGGAGGAACCAGGTTTTCAATAGCAAAGGTTAACTCACAATTTTAATTGGAGCCAAACATGATCATAATCATCACTGAATTTATCCTAGACAGAATTATGCAGGTTTTGATAAACAAGGGAGTCCATGGTTATTGAAGCCAAAGAGCAAAGTGGAGCTGAGATTACAACTAGATCATCCATGATCTTATTGGATTGTGGAGCAGGTGCAAACAAGTGAATGCTCTTTCCTGCTCCTAAGAGTTATTTTCCTCTACAAACTCCGCATGTCTTTCTGCTGTGCTGTTTCTGAAAGAAATATGTTAATTAATAGAAGTGGAAATGTAAATAATTAATGTTGGAAATCTAATGTTATGCCCTAAAGGGCAGGGAGATACAGTTATCTTTTTTGTCAGAAGGGATGCTAATGAACTGTTATTTGATGGCTGCTGAGAGGACTTGTATAACTTCAACGCAGACTATTAAACTTTTGGAAAGTTCTGAATTGGTTCACAATGGACAGAACTCTCCTCCTTGAATGGACTTGCCTAAACAGTACTACTTTGTGGAATTTGCTCCTGTCATTTTTGAAGCTATCCCCAAAATCTAAAGTCAATGGACTCCTACACACTGTCTGCAGATTTTCATTGTAATGAAGGAAAGCTGATGAGACCACAAATGAGAAACACCACCTTTATCTTCTATTGATTAATAATTAGCCACTGACTATTTGATTGAAACTGATCTTCTGATACGGAAATCCTATCTTCCTAAACCTCAGGAAAGATCTAGAACAGTCTACAGATAAAGATAAAGTCACTGTTGTCTGACCAGACTGTAGGGCTCACTAGAGAGAGAATTGGTGGTCACCATGCCTCAGGCAAGGGGAGAGGTTGAGAAGGCGAGTTCTTCACAGTAATTTCAGCTGGTGCGGAAAGTAAGCCCATGCTGTTGGCATCACTCTGCATCACAAACCTGCCATCCAGCCAACTGAGCTAACTGACCCCCATCTCCAGAATAATACCAACAGTTGCAATGAAAGGCTGTGTTACTTATTTCTTTGAAGAAATGAATGGCTTCAATGTCTTTTTAAAAGTTTCCCTACCTGATTCCGAAACTCTGAGCTCAACTGTAAAGAGGTTTGACTTCCTTATAACAGCCATGACAGCCTAGCTACAAGGCCTGCAGTTTATCTAGAAATCCAACACTAACTATCTCAACTTATTTAAAAGGCAAGAGTTGGAACAAGCTTCCCTTTTTTTACTGGATCTTAAACTATTTACCACATTTTTTACCACTTACAGTATTACTGGTTATAACCGCATTTTTCCTGAGTGTTAGGTGACTAAAGCAACGATAGATGTTTTTGGCGTGAGTGAGTAAATAGATAATTATCTTTGATTAAACACATAAAAATCCATTTCTTTTTTGTTTTACTTTAAGCACACTCTAATGGGGATTTAGAAACACACACATCTATCTTTTAAAAACTAAACCACACTGATTAGGCATCAAGCGGAAAGGAATTGGGGATTTCAGTTTATCTTCCCTTCTCTGTCTAACATTAAACTAAGGACTCAAAGTATTGAAAATCTACTATGTGTGTGAATGTATGCATGCATAAACCATATTGGAAGAGACAATATGTATCTGCAAGTTCACTTCTCTGTGAAATGAGAACATATAGGAACATGTACATCCGTATGTTAAGTGGTTATCAATTAAGGGTATCAATTAGTGGTGAGTCAGAAAGGTGGAGCTTGGGCCCGCCCACCAAGAAATTACATTGGGTGGAGGTGAGAAGGTTGCAGGTCTCTGGCTTACCACCATCTTGCCTAATGATGTTCCCTTCCAGGCCTCGAAGGCTCCACTTAAAGGACCCTGGAGCTTGGAATGATCTACCCACATAATGAAAACAATGTCAAGTAGCAGCTGTTTTTACTGTTGATACGTTTCCAGTAAAAACTGGAAAAATGTATTCCCAGACTCTGGAACAAGGAACTAATTGTTTCATTATGATCAGATACAATCACATTGGCACTACAGTTCAGAAATTGGCGACCATTGGCAACCTCACAATATTTCAGATACAGTATTTGGTTTTGTGCTACTTGAGAGATGTCTTGGCCCAGATCCCTTGCTTCTTAGATTATTACATAACACGTGCAGGGTCACAGCATAATATCTCACACGGATGACAGCAGGGGCAGCTTAAACCTGCATTCTCAACAGAAACCACACTGCTGGATCGTATGAATCACTCAGAATATACACACTCAGCAATGGTCCACTCTCTTTTCACAGGCAGTACTTTTAATACTGCTCTTAGTGTGGAAGCAGGTAATTCGGCCCATCAAGTTCGCAGTGACCTGCCGAAGATCATCCCACCCAGACACACCTCCCCTATCTCTGTAACCGTGCATTTTCCCATGGCTAATCCATGTAGCCTGCACATCCCTGGACACTACGAGGAATTTAGCATGGCCATTCCACCTGACCTGTGTACCTCTTCTGAGCAGGCAAAAAGGAGATGTGACTGAAATTGACCAGGTCTTGCTTTAAATGTTTGCTTTGTGCTCCAATTACATCCTCAGGGCTGACTGCTACTTGGATTTAAAGATGGAACTATTAAAGATTTTCAAAAGCAAACAAGAAGACCTTAGAAACAACAATTAAGTAATAAATGTATCTAGGAATCTGATTTACATTTGGTCAACTAAAGCACAGACGGGAGAAGATAAGTGTGAAAATATGCTAACAGTAAACTAGTGAAAGATTATAGTTAAGAAATGCTGTAGAAAAATGTTTCTCTTTGTCTAGGCTAAAGAAAGTTACAGGGAAGTGGATTTTTTTTTAAGGATGTTGGTACGGCAAACATATCAAGGCTATTTTAGTGGAAGATTTAGGATCATGGCTAGAAAAACAACCAGGAAATGTAAGAATATTGGAAATACAGGTAAATTAACAGAAGTTTCTTGATATTGCCAACCATCTCGGTCCATTGCTGTGCTGCTCATTTTGCTGACCGTGTAGCTTCCTTTCTTAAATTTCAAACGCCTAAACTTCAACCAGTGACTGGTATGTGTTAACTTCACTATAAGGTAAAGGAGTTCTGTGAGAAAAGAAGACCTCCCACCCCATAAAGCAGAATGAAAATCAGGATAATCTTCAACCCCCTCGACAAATGCAGTCAGAAAGAACTGGCCGCCTTCCAAAAAGTACTTGTGAGTACTTGCGTAGTGTTAAAACTTGCTGCTCATTTTCATTTTGCAAAAAACACGTTATTACTCTATCATGTAAACACAGAAGCTGAAGTAATGCTGGTAGAATCTGTAGCAACAGAAACAGATCTAATGTTTTGAATCCAATAACTCATTTGGAACACGTACGTTCCTTCAAGCATTTCTAAGCTATACTCTTAAGTTCGTCATCTGACCTCATCATAGTTTCTTCGTGTTCCTTTCTCCCTCATCAGCTCTGGCTCAGTTGTTAACGCTCTTCCTTCTAAATTGTAGTGTCAGGTTCAAGTCCCACAACATGACTGGACTGCAAAAATCAAGACAGACACTCTAGCGCTGTACTGAGGGATTACTGCTGAGTGTAAATTGGCTGCCACATCTCTTACACTGAAGACTGAATACAATTGAAAAAGTATTTCGTCGACCATAAAGAACAGGGGAGGTGTTGGTGTAGTGGTAATGTCACTGGATTAGTAATCCAGAACCCCAAGGTAATGATCTGGATACATGGGTGTGAATCCCATCATATCAGATGGTGAAATTTGAAATTCATTAAAAAGCTAGCCGAATAAGACCATGACAAGTATTCGCAGAAGTTGGTCATTTGAGTCTGGTCTGCCATTCAATAGGATTACCAAGGCATCGATTGAAGATAAGAGGCAGGAGATTTAGAGGGGTTTAAAGGAGAAATTCTTTCATTCAGAGGGAGATGGGTACCTGAAAGTCATTGCCTGAAAGGGTAGGAGAAGCAGGAACTGCTACAACATTTAAGCGCTGGAAATGGCATTACAATAGATCTGTATTTGATAACCAGCGTGGACTTGATGAGCCAAAGGGCTTCTTCCAGTGTTGTAATTCTCTACGAGATCATGACTGATCTGATAATCCTCAATTCTACTTTCCTGCCTTATCCTCATGACTCTTGTGATCGATGCACTACAACCCTCAAATCCCTCTGTGCTGCAGCTTTCTGCAATCTTACACTGTTTAAATAATATTCAGCCCATCTGTTTTCTGCCAAAGTGTATAAGCTCATACTTTCCACATTAGGTTCCATCTGCCAAGTTTTAGATCAATAATTTAACCTGTTGATATATCTCTGTTACCTCCTTGTGTCATAGGAATATAGGAACATTTAGGAATATTAGAACAGCAGTGGGCCATCCAGTCTCTCAAGACTGCTCCATCATTCAATCAGATCATGGCTAATCTATGCTGTAACTCCATATGCCTGCCTTGGGCCCATATGCCTTGACACCCTTGCTTAATAAAACCTTGTCTATCTCAGATTTAAACTTAACATTTGAATTAGGATCGACTGCCATTTCAGGAAAACAGTTCCAAACCTCCATTGCTCTGTGCATGTATTAGTGCTTTCCAACATCTCTTCTGGTCCAATTTCTTAGACTATGCCCTCGGTTCTAGAATCTTCAATCAGTGGAAATAGTTTATCTTTATCTTTCCCTGTTAATATCCTGAAGACCTCAATCAGATTATCCCTTAACATTCCAAATTCTAGAGGATAAAGGCCTAATTTGTCTAATCTCTCCTCATAATTTAACCCTTGAATTCCAGGTAGCATCATTGTAAATCTGCATTGAACTCCCTTGGGGGCCAAAGCATCCTTCCTAAGGAGTGGTGCCCAGATTAGTTCGCAGTACTCTAATTGGTTTTGTATAACTGCCACATAATGTCTGCATCC